GAGATCGTGCTGAAGGACCACCACTACCCTCATCATTTTGATGAGGGCTGTTTGGCAGTCTGCAGGATAATGTTTAAAAACAGTTGTAGAGTTATGGAAGACTATGGTTAGTATCTTTTTGTGACTGTTTGAGCTGTACTCTGCAAAATGAGCAAGGATTCAGAAAAAGCTGTAGTCTGACTGTCACTTTGGCTGTGGGGCTAGGGGGGATTTGAATACATGAAATGCCTTTGTTAGCAGTTGGATTTAATTTCCTTTTGTTTAGCATTTGCACAGGGCTCAGTGTAACACAGTAATATAATAAGAAAGCTTTGCCAGCAACAGATTTCAGGAACATGCACAGGCCACTGGGACTATGTAATGTACTTAATTACAGGTCAGCATTAGAACAGGCAACTATGGTGCAGTTGTAATGAAAAGGTTTTCCCTGAGCTGTGTTGGCATATCCTTTGTAGTACTAAAGGATGAAGTTTTGCTCTTAGGTCTAACTTTTGTTTTAAACAACTAATTTGTAAGCATTCTTTCTTTGTATTGGCTACACAGAACTCTATCTGTTCTTTACTGTTCATTAGAAGTGATCAGTAGCTATTCAAACATTCCTAGCACTGCTTGCTAGCTGATGAAAGGCCTGGAAAATGAAAGTGTGGCAAACCAGAAAATAAAGAGCAATGACCAAAGGCATAAGGAGAAAAGCTATTACCCAGGGAGACCCAAGGAATTATGTCACAGCCAGATAGTCCTAGTTTCAGTGTTACATTCATCTGTGGCTCTGTGGCACTTGATGCTGACAGTTGAAATGTAACGGAGGCTGGTGGAATAACCCATTTGATGGGCAGATATCACTAGCATACAGCTTTTTCAGTGCACACTTGCTGTGTACCACCTCAACACTGGGATAAAGGTGACAGACAACTGTGGCTTTGCATGAATTTCCGAATGCCAGCTTGAATGGACAGTATTCCTCTCTTCATCCAGCTGCTCTACTATTTTGGCATCTCATCAAAATTTCCAGGAGTAATTGCAAATGAATAATCATTTTTCATTTAGCTTATACGCAATCCTGGCACCACTGATCATCTAAACACTTGCTTAATATATATGTAGATATGCCATCAACGTATGTTCTGGATTTTTGAAAGGCAAACTTCAGAAATAAAGGGTCATAGACAGAGTCCAGTGCATTATTACTGTTATTGATGTGTGCCAAAAACATTAAAAATAATCTTTATTATCAAGAAATAATGATGTAAAAATAAATAGGTCCTGTTGGTAAGCAGGTGCCCAGGAGCAGAAAGGAATGGGGAAAAAGTCATAATCCTCTTGTAGGAAATCAAAGAAGTGCCTGAGTTGTGTTTTTCTGCTTGGCCTAGACTGTTCTAAATGCTAAGTATCTCAAAGGCCTTGCAAATAAAAAACAAATGCCAACAGTTACCTCTCCTACAGAGCAGACTTCCAGCCTGCTCAGAATACAGTGGTGAAAGTTTGCCCAGGTTTGCTTGTTCTATTGGTAAAAGTCTTAGCTGGCATTTGGGAAAATGGCGTTTGAAAGCTCTGTGCATGTGGCCTGGAGTGGGACACAATCTATGTCACGCTTCCAGAAAGAACAGAAAAGTGAAGTCCTCTTTACAGCTGCTCTTAGCCGGAAAATGATAAAATGATGTAGAATGCTGCTGCACTTGAGTGAGGAACAATGTCCTGACAAAAATGCTTGCTGCCTCTCCAGAGCAGCAGGTTGGCTTTTCATTCAGCAGCATTTCAGCACTCTTCCAGGCAGTTTTACCCTCTACTATTAATGAAATTGATCTGGTTAATATTAGAACAAAAAAACCTCACCGTGATGATGATGAATCCTCACTCCATTTATACACAGCTCTCTCTTCCTCTCCATGTCAAGAGAGCCTTCAATTCCCTATTGCTGGCTCCACGATTTCCTGGCTTTATCACAATTCCTTTTTCAATTCTCCCACACTGTCAGTGCTTTAAAGGAAGTTGAGAAGAAAGGTAAGAATATAATTGAAATTTTGTATTTCCCCCTCCAAAGATCTCCTTTTATTTTGTCCATCATAGCAATATATAGGCTGGCAGCAGCCAAAGAAAAGCTGTATTCTTGCAGAATGTGAATGGCCCAAATTACCTATAATGGTTCTGACTGTGGCTCAGAGGTAACTTGTACCTGCAAGTGAAACTACAGGAAAATAAGACCTGCGTTTTCTCTGCTGCTATGAAGACCTGTGAGGTGAGCTTCCCTGCTGTTATCCTAAGGGAAGGTACCTGTAATTTGTCAGCAACTGAAGTGCAAGTTGGCCCAAGCAGGAAGATTACAGTCAGGAGTAAGGCGTTTTAGCAAGGCAGTAGTGAATACCACATGCTCTCTAGGCTCAGCGCACACAGTCAGCTTAGTTGCAAAGGAAGGGGAGAAGTTTTCTTCCAACTAGGACATGCAGTTATTTTGTCTTGGCCACTTGGAGACAACCTCTCGGACTAGCTAGGAATCCGTAAACCACAAAACACTCATGCTAGAAGAATCTGGCTAAAGATGCTACTTTTGTGACTGTTGTTTTTTTTTTCTTTTTTAAAACAAACAAATTCCTTTGCAGTAATCAATAGTAATCAAAAGACAACTTTCTTCAGTTCAAGGGTATCACCTTTAAATGTTAAGGCTACAAACAACGTTAGTACAAAACTCCTATTTCTGTTAAAAAATGTACTATATAAATATTTTGTAAAAAGCTGATGATTAATAGTAATATTTTGTGACATAAGGGAGAAAAGCAAACTTTATGGAGAAACAAGCAAGTGTGCATAAGCAGCTCTCATTTGTTTAATTAAGTATATTTTTTCATATTAAAAGCACTAGTTACTTTCTGGATAGTGGCTCTCAAATTATAGAATTAATTTGTCAAGCTCTCAGACCTGGCAGGGCAAAAGATTTTCTTGCTGTGTTGTGACAGAAGGGGAAAAGCATAACTACTTTAGTAAGGAGCTAAATAACCACAACTTAATGGAGAGAAAATGTAGGAAAATAATTACATTAATTCACTTCAGACCTGATCAGACCTTTAACCATGCAATGACAGACATTCTTAGCCCAGCAGCAGATCCAAATTTACACTTTGCAGAATAACATCCTTACTGAGCTAGAGGTTGCCAAGGAGCTGTTAGTGAGGGAAGTGCCCTGTGTGCCAATTCCAGAAATCAGTACGGCAGGACAGTCTGCCCTATATTTCCAGACTTTTGGTACCTTACATAACTAGGTACAAAATACAGTTTTATTTCTGATTCTTTTCTTTGGAAATGCAGTCATGTGCAATCAGGTGGAATAAGTGTGCTGATAATTTTCCTTCAGAAACTGTAATGATTAGTGATGTGGACACTTTTCTCTTTAGGCAGAAACCGTGAGGCACTGAAGCAAGCATTCACTTTTCTTGCACTTGAGGTCACAAATTTATGCAAGTCAAAAATGTTGAGCCTGCCAAAAACATCATGCTACACTCCACCAAATAAAAGGACACTGTTATTCTTACAAGGAAAGGTTTGACAGGACAGGAAATAGGCAGGGTCACAGAAGTTTACTTAATACTGAAACTTATTTAACCACCTTTAAGCCAAAATACAATGTTATTTTTTCATATACGTATTTATATGTATATATTGGGGAGGAGAGAGAGAAATACAAGTAAGCTATTACAGGAGCAACAGCCAGTACAGAAGGTAGGGAGCTTTAACAAAAATTCATGCAATTCAGGTTGCTGTACATCACCTGTCTCTACTGGGTTAACGTGCATTGAGGAAGTTTTAACTTATGCCCTGAAACTGCAGCAAGAGGAATTTGATTTAGAGAATCCAGTGTGTTTTACCACGCTACATGCTTATTGCCATTACAATTCAATCTTTAAGTAAACTGCATTTCTCTTAAAGGAATGAAGGAGGAGGAAGAGCAAAATAATATGAAAGATAGGAAAAATGTTGCTGTTCATTACAATTTTCCATTTTTGTTGAAACACAGCAGGAGAGCAAAGCCACAGGCTTCTCTACTGCTCTTGCATGCCAGGAGGGATTATGCAAACACTGCAACCACCCAAATCTTATTTAAATTATAGTCATTGTTCCCCCTTTAATGGTTATACTTTTGCCTGCTTTCACTCAAATATTGCTGCATCTTGCTTTCTGCCAACTTAGCCCCACTGGGAGTCATCAACTCTTAATTACAGACGAACAGATCTCTGAAAAATACCTTGGAAAAAAAAGTAGAAAAGAAAGCAAACCTTAACTGCCATCTAGTGGCCGAAGATTAAAAAAACATCACATCAAAAAAATTCTGACCATGACACAGGGCAAGGTAACTAGCTGAAATGAAGAAGCAGTGCTTGAATTCACAACCAGCAAAGACCTGGTTAATTATTGGGGAACCAGGAAAAGGTAAATAGCATCTTTGAAGTAACTTTGAAGATTTTTAGCCTTAATTGGAGAGCTCAAATGGTAGGAACTGTAGATCACTTGCTCCTTCATGACCCTCAGCAGCTTATCAGAATCCGTATCTTTCCAAATTGTCAGGTGTACTTCAGTTAAAATCAGAAAACAGAACCCTTTCACACCTCAAAATGGAAGCCAACTCATAGGGATGAATCTAGACCCAATTATCTAAATTCAAGTTAGGCTTTTCCACCCAATTCACTTGGAGTTCAAGGCCAGATTTTTCTATTCTCTGATTTGTAACAAGTCAAATTCATTTCTAAAAGAAGGCAGACTGTTAGCTAGTCGTGTCCCTTTCCTTTCTCTACAGGAAAAAGCCACTTTCTGCTGCAGGTAGGAATTCCTCACCCAAATATCTTCTAATAGAAAAGCTTCACGTTCCAAGTACACAGCTGTACAATTCCTCAAATTTTAGACAACTCTTCTTGAAGATGTGTCCTTTCTACATATAACCAGTAATTAACAGTATAGACTTTAATAGCTCTGTTTGAACCTTTTTAGTGATAATAGAGCAGACCAACAACATATTTATTTTATATATATATATTTTGTACAGCATTTTTACTTTCAAGTTGCTTCAGAGCTTTCAATTTTCTTCAGTGCCACGCATACAGTGACATTGGGAATTACTCCTTGGGAAGATTCTGGAGAAAAGAACCTGTATAGGTAGATGTATTCAATGTAAGACTTGATGCATATTTCTAGCTTCTTGTGGAATGACTTGGCCTAATGTCATCCAGTCAATGACACACGAAACCAGCTTTATGCACAAAGTAATTCACAACTATTTAATTTAGATAGGCTAGATCTCAAATGAAGTAATGAACATCAATGCATCTACCAGTCCTTTCTTCTTTCTGCCTACACAAAAATTCTCAAACATGCCAAATTTTTAATGTTAACAAGATCTTGTTTTTGTTTTGTTTGTTTGTTTTTGCTAGGAGGGAAGAGGAGCAGCAAAACTTACTATCAAACTCCAGCAAGAAGAAATGGGTTTACAGAAAAGGATTTATTCTTATTTTAAGATATTTAAATAGTCTTTGGTAACTGAAGATCCTTTCTGGCAGATTACAAAGGGAAGATGCTTAATATCAAGATCATTTTTGCAACAGATTTAGAACCTTACTAACGTGACGTGCTTCTCACTCACAACATTGGCATGGTAAGGCTGTATATACAGATACATACAACAATGCTGTGATAAGGCTTTAAGGGAAAAGAAGCACTGCTTAGCAGGTAATGCACATAAGGGGAAAGGTTTTTACCCTGGTCAAAGATGTACTTGCAGTTTCACCACTGCCAAGTCAAAGTAATGACTGTGGATAATGGAATTAGAATGCTGTCATCTTTGTTTTTCAGCTCTTCAGGGTAGTGGGACAACATCATGATGTGCCAAACTCTGGAAATGGCTAGTAGTAGAAAAGGATGCAAAACAAGGACAAAAAAAACAGTGACCCAAGACCAGCAAGGAGAATTCTGTGAACATCTGGGTCTACAAAGTTCTACCTTGCCACTAGGATCCATTCCAAAAGGTTTTGTTAACTGGTCAAAATGGATTAAATACTCCAACTGGAGAAAAAAGGTTTGATTCTGAATCATCAAAACAGTGTGTTCTTCCATACAGTACCTTATTCATGAACAGTGAACAGCAGCATGCTTCACAGCATTTATTTACTATATTAATTTCCAGATGAGTTGTAATATATCCTTTACATCCCATATTCCTGCTCTTTATCTAGTGAGCTGAAAAAATAGCTATCTGAGAACCAGATAAGGATCAAAATTAGAACATTACCTTTGAAACAACCATTTTTGACAAGTCATAGGAGACGCAATATTGAATATCTTCACCATATTCTAATTTAGGGATTACAGGAGGAAGTCATATCAATACACATATTATTGCTATCTCTGTACAAAGTAAACTCTTGGTACAAAATATTGATACACACAAAAGCTTTCTTTCAGGAGGTTAACACAAATATTAATGAGGACAAAATATTTTTAAAAAGCAACTAATAGACCAAGTAATTCAAAATATTATATCCAATTCAAATGAAAATTTAGAAGTAGAACAATAAAAAAGCAATAGACAGCACATTCAAATCATTTTCAGTTCTTTCCAGTAGAACCAAAGCCACCTTCACCACGTTCTGTATCATCTAGAGTCTGAAAGACAACAATTGTAACAAGCTTGTTTAGAGTTTTAACTTGCCTTCAATTCCCATATAAGCAGTATTGTTTATCATGCAGACAGTGCACGTACAAGGGCTGCCCTGAAAGTTACGCCTGCTATTATGTTGGCTCATGACATCAGAGGCAGACGTTGGTGGGAGGGCAGTGGAGGCTGAACCTTCCCACCAGCTTGCCTTTACGTTTTGTTGCTGTGTCACTGATGGCAGCAGAGGGGCAGTCAAAGAGCATGCCAGCACAGTGAGGCAGCAGGTGGTGCATTTCAGCAGTGGTCATTCTGCTAGTGCAGATTTTTGTAAGCGCAGCATGCAGCGTCTTATTCATCACTGTCAAAAATGGTGATAACTATGCTGAACAATGATGTTTTGCAGGTGAGAATTTGCTCTATCAACCAGTGTTATTGTACTCTTTGTATCTGTTGTAGTTTCCACAGCAGTACATAGGAGGCATTGCTTTCAGAGTGACCTGCGTACTTGGCTTCTCACAGTAGATCAGAACTGTCAGTAACTCGAACTAAACCGAAATATTTTATGAGTCAGTTCTCAATACCTTCCGTAAAAGCTTAAATAAATCCCACACTGAGAGACTACAAACTAGCATACACTGAAGCATTTCTCACCTACTTGCTATTTGTGAAAAACTTTGAAATAAAAAAAAAAATAAAATAATGCATGCGAAGCATAAAGGGTTTTGCATAAAAAGTAACAGAATCACGGCTTAATAGTTAGAATAGTTTTAAAGCAAAGTATTTACCTAAAGCAGAAATTCCATCTTATCTACAACTATCTTAAACTACTAGTTGTTGAAAACAAGCAAATATTTCCCTTTGGCAACTTACTTGAACTTCTTCTAGCTCAGGATAGAAAATGCGTTCGCAGATGAGCTGGGCAATTCTATCTCCTTTCTTAACTACAAAGAAGTTAAATTATTATTATTTCCTTAAAAAAATCCATACAAGTTTAGATGATCTCTTTCCAAGAGTTTCAGAATGTAATAAAATACTTATTCGAAATTTAGTTCAGCAAATATTAGAAACCCCAGACAAATACAGGCTGTGATAAACTGTGCTTAGCCCTTTTACGTGAAGTTCCAGCAGCAATAGCAGTTTAAGGGAAATCCCCTCATTCCTGCTGCTATACCAAGGCATCCTAAGCACTGTTGTGCATAAATACTACAGAGACTCAGATAGTTGCTTGTATGATGTAGCTCTTGTGTGGATTCAATCTAAAAACTTGTTTCCCTGGGGCATTCTATATTCTAATCCCTGGGGATTCTATTACTCTATGAAAAAAAATAACAAAAAATTGAATGGATAAAAGGAAAAAAAAATCTATGGCTAGTACCCAGCTTGATTCACAGAAGTTTTTTAACAGGCTTGTGCTGTGAAGTTGCAGAAAAAGTTGTAAAAATATTGGCAATATTTTAACTGGGTCCTGAAGCTTAAACCGATGCATTTGGGAAGGGAGAGCACGATTAAGGGAAAATCATTCTTTATTATTCATGTTTCTCAGAATCACAGAGAAGTTTTTATCTCAAAATTGTTTATTGTTGATAAAGAAAGAATCCTAATACAAAGTTGCATTTCAGTAAAGGTCATCTGGAAGGTTTAACCTTCAGTAAAGGAATCTGAAGGTTAGCTAAGTAGTTCTTTTCTGCACACTGGTTCATTTACTAGGAGTGCAAACTTTTCAGATTTCCTTAATAGGACATTGTTAAGTTGCCAAGATTTTGTTAACTGTAAAAACGGTCTCAGATAAAACTGCCATCTCACAGATTTTGAAAGAAAACTTAATTTCTCATTTCCCACCAGAAGTCTAAAAACAGGCTTTGCTTAGCTTGACGCTTACCTTCAAAAGTCTCCTTGCCAAAGTTGAAGAGCACCACGCCAACGTTTCCCCTGTAATCCTCATCAATAACACCAGCTGATAGATGGAAAAATTAAGAGATATCCAATTAATAAACATTGCCACTATTTTAAACAACACAAGTTTACATTGGTAACAACTGCAGTACCTCATGCTGGTACACTTTATGCTGCTCATGCACAATTAAACACAGGGTCCAATTTTCAATGCATTCAACGTATTTTGAAGTCTGCTTACACAAAGTTACATGTCCTTCCTAGACATTCCAGGTACCATACATACAAAATACTACCCATAGAGACTATAAATGCCAAAGAAAGTTGTAGTATGACTACGTCTTGAAGGTTTATTACTGATCATATATACTTAACAATAGACACTTGAGGGTTTTTATTAGTTTCTTCAACTGTGTGAAAATACTGCATTATATATTGTTCATTACATTACTGTATGTCTCTGGACCTGAAAGTGGCAATTTTTATTTATTTTAGACCAGGCACCAGTTAATTAAGTGCCAATTACATAAAGATCTTGCTGCAAATGCTGAATGACTGTTGAGCAGCCCTCTCCATCCTTTCCTGTCCAATATGCAGGTTTAACAGATACGTTGTATGTGAGAAGAGCTTGAGCACCACTGAATCTTGCCAAATGACTTCAGTAAAACACAGCTCCTCAGGCACTATACCTTTTTTTGCCAACAAAGAAAGATGTAAGTAAAAGCTAGCTTTTATATTTAGCAGCAGCATCTACAAGAAATTCTAGACCTTAGCATTGCTCTCTGAAAGAGCTCTGGCTACTTTTACTTCCTTTCATTTGAGAAATTCTCAATTACTTTGTAAATGTCACTTCAGGCATCAGGCGTCAGAATTCAGGCGTCCTTCTTTGTTTCAGCAAGCTTACCACTGGGGACGATGATCTAGCCCCCCAAAAATGAAATGATGTGTAAAAAGACAGATAGGTTAGCTCTCTAGGAATTGAAAACTGTGCGATACTCAAGATAGAAACGACTGATGAATATTTTAGTGCTTAAACTGAAGTCAGTGGCATTAAGTCATTTGTATTATTCACCAGAGGGAGAAAAGCTTTCACTAAGCATTCAAATTTTGTAAGCTTAGCTATAAAGTAAACTACATTTGTAATGAATCTACATACTGCTTCAGACTTGTTCTCTAGCAGGCAAGAACTGCACTTCCCACTCAGTTCTGAGGATGAAAGCTTTCCAGAGAATACAGAGAGGAAGGATAATCTTCCTCAGCTGTACATCTAATATAAACAGAACAATAATATATGATATAATCAGACTTGAAAACCATTATTATTAAGAAATAACTTTAAAAAAAAAAAATCTTTGTGGCCAAAACTACTACTCTAAGTGCTGTGCTGAATGGCTGTGATATTTACAAAGTTACGATTGATTCAAATCCGGGTAGAGATTTTCTGAAATTAATTGCCTTCCAAAGATTTTCTCTTCACATATTATACTCAATTGGTCTTACTGAATTTAACCACCACCACCATCTAGATTTTGAGTTTAAACTACACTATTTTTATTACAGAAACACCTGAACAGAAATTCAGTATTTTGGGCATGCTGGCAAAACGTGGTATCCAAAAGTTTTCTCTCTTGGCATTATTATTCCAGAACAGCAAGTTGCAGTAACTATATGCACTGCTGAGCACCAAGGCTGTTCTAAAATATGTGTACTGGGTGGAAATCATCTAAGTCATTTTTGGAAAAATTGTGCATTAGAACTGGCAGTGTGACATATGGTCTTACTCTGTCAGAAGTTTGGCATGTCATCTGTTGGGAAAGCATCCACACCTAACAGATGTGAATTCTGAATGTGTTCTCGCATGATCCCTTATTTTTTTCTCTAACCCAATGATCTGCAGGACTTCTTATTGTGTATTTTTCCTTAAATGGATAACGGCTTTCATTGTGACAGAAGTACTTGGGAAGGACAATTAAAATGTTATAACTGGTTTGATTTTGTTTTTCCAGAAGTCCTCTACTGTCAGTAATAATTTCACTCATTATTTTTAAGCGGTTTTTTTTTTTTTTTTTTACAAACTGAGTGCAAGTCATCCTGCTAAGCACTGTTTATTTCCTTCAAGCACTTCCTAGTCTAACTTTTGGATTGGAAAGATTGTTACAGAGGTGTAGCAGAAATGCTAAGTCATGGCCTGAACCAGTGATTGAGCACCTGGTGGGAAGGCAGGGCCAACCCAGGGGAGCTCAGGTGCATGCAATGAAATGCAATGCATCTGAGTAACTGGAAGGGGTGCAGCAAGGATCCACCCCTTCCCAGACCTCATTTAAGGGTTGGCAGTGGAGGCAAGGGGGTCTTGCTGAAGATTCCTGCCTTCCCTTGAGGTCTTTTGAGGGTAAGTAGATTGTTTCCTTTGTTTCTGTGTCCGTGGCTGCAGTATCTGGGCTAATCCTTACTTCCTGCAGCCAAGGACTTTGTTAACTTGCTATTATTGCTGTGCTTTTCATTATATTATAGCGTTACAAGAGAACATATATTTATTTCATAAAAGTGGAGAAAAAATTTAGAAATATTATCTGTAAGAATCACACTACAGTAGATGATGTATACTATGGTGTTTTGGGTATAGAATGGAGAAGCTTTGATTCCCATGTTAGGTTTTTTTTTGTTTGTTTGTTTTTTTGGTTACTCAGGAAAGCCTAAAAACACCAGGAGGCCTAAAATAATTCTGATATAACATAAAGCCTAAATAACATAAAGCTGGCATAGATGCTCTGCTTTAACCTGATAGCAGAGGCATACAGCAGATACTGCCAGTCTTTCATGTGCCACAAAGCAAACCCAATAAAGAGTTCTGCAGCAACTCTAAATTTACTTAGAGTTGCCTCTGCTTTATGGCTAGCCTGGCATCAGAGAACAATGCCTGCAGTTACCATCCCTAATATCCAGAGTTAATCCTGCCTGTTAGCAAATACAGGCTAAGCATCATTCAGTACTAGTCTGAGCTTGTAAGTCGCTCAGTACTTACACCTGGGTTGTGTCAATGTCTCACTATCGCTACAAGCCGTGTGACAAAAGAACTGAGCACAGCTCTTCTGAAGAGGACATGGGGGACTGGTGGAAGGCAAGCTGGATGTGACCTCCCCTATGAGGATAGGTTAAACTACCTGGGGCTGTTCAACCTGGAAATAAGAAGGCTCTGGGAGACCTTTCAGTATCTAAGGGGGGGGGGGGGGCAACAAGAAAGAAGGAACAGACTCCTCAGTGAGTTCTGCTGTGGCAGGACAAGAGGAAATGTTTTGAAACTATAAGAAGGGAGACTTAAGGAAAAAGTTGTTTTACAATAATGGTGGTAGAGCACCCTGGTAGGAAGTAGGTTTTTTGTTTCACTTTCAGACTTTAATTTACAAAGTTAGAGCTGGAATTCTATATGCCTTCATTTAAATTAATTCAAATCTTACACCAGACCAGAAAAAAAATCATGCATAACTCTTCAGTGAAAATGAAGAAAAACAGACTAAAAGTAATCTTTAAAGCCTAAACCAAAATATAATTTGTCAGACATTGCTTACAAGATCATTATCAATGATTTTCTTATAGTAGCCTTATAGTATCTTGTAACTCATCAAGTTTTAAACCAACTGTGATTTGTTGAGTCTCTGTGGAATTAATCAGATTCTCTCCTTTTGCCAGACAGCTAGTGAAGCTAGCACTATTTTACACCTATATGAAATTAGGGCATTTTGCAATTAAAATTTACAAAGTTATAGTAAAAATAACAAAAAATCTTACCACCAACATCTATGAAGTGCTTTGCAGCTAAACCAGAACGTGGTGCTAGAAAAAAAGAATTATTTTTGTAAGTGCAATACGAGATACTTATAGATTAGTGTGTTTGTACAAAGTTGTGTTAGCAGGAACTGTTCCCACAGTCTATCAAAAATAAATGTGACTTTAGAGGAAAGGCTATAGATATTATTGTATATACAAACAAAACCAGCTGCTACAGACTACAGTAAAATTGACACCTTTGGATGATTCAAATTCATCCTTGATTAGACCACCAAATACAGAACAGGTTTCTTCAAAGAATGCTGGAATAGGATGTTATCCACTGTTCTGGACTGATCTTAAAGGACTATTCTGGCAGTCCACTCTAGTTATGATTGAAAACAATATTTGACAGTTTACTAAGAACACGGCATACAGATAAACTATGTGTGGGCTTTTTATATTCCTTGGTCTACTTTGATGAGATGCTTAAATGTTATTGTTTTCAAAATTTTCTTTGTTTAGGATAAAATAAATGCATAAACACTCTCTTTTTAAAAGAAAGAGCACAGCAAATTGAGTATTTCCTTTCACCGGGGTAGAATATCTTGTATGGGTTTTCTGACAGGCTTTCTATGATTGTCACTAAAAGTAGTCTATTAGATGAGGTTCTAACCTCAGGACCAATTTTTAAACAACCTGTGTGTTTTCCATATGCCCCTTACCTTTTGGTCTTCACCTTCTTAATTATAAAACTGCAGGGAAATAATCAGTGATCAATCACATCACACACAAAGCTGTAGGCAGGATGCAGCTCTCTAGCATGGGGCTTAATAATTACATAGGCATGTGAACTTTTTTATGTGTGTAGAGTAATTCTGAAAGCAAAACCTAAATGTAAAGGCAGCTCCAAACCTCCCTGGTATGAGATCTCAGCTTTTTTTATAGCCTGTTTGCTTACCTACTCGGCCATAGCATCCAGCAGGAAGGGCAATCTGAATGTCTGTTTTCACGACAGCCTTTTCCATGGGTGGGATGATGTAGTCATAGGCACTGCGTTGTGGGAAGAAATACTAGTTTATATAGAATCCTTAAAAAAAATAATAGTAAATGCTGTATCTCAAGGTACAAAGTTATTAAGAATTACTCCTGCTGGGCTGTGGCAGGCAGCACGACCTACCATCGTGAGCTTATCGTACAAGAAACGCTTATAGACCGACGATACCGAATGCAGATCCTTACAGACGAGATAATCTCTTTTTGATGGCGCTAGCTTTCCGTACCGTCATTTGGATAGCGTAATCATGAGGCTGCTATTCTTATCTGCTTTTAATTGCTAAGAGACATAAAGCACGCAAGTTTAATTTGAAATCACCGCGGACTCGGGGCGCGGCCCCTCCCTCACCTGTACAAGTCGTAGCCCGCGGCTCGCGCAGAGCCCTTGGACGGAGCGCAGGCATTCTCAGACAGCTTGGTGAAGCGGAGCCGAGCGGAGGGCTCCCCGACTGCCGAGCCTTTCTGCCTCTTGCTGGGGGATGGCTGCAGAGCGGCCTCGGAGCACGGCATAGCTGCACGAGGGGGTGAAGGCGGGAAACGAGCTTTTGAAGCAAAAAAACGCGCGAAAAAGCAGCAGCGCCCACAGCAGGCGGAGGTGAGTCCCGATCACCGAACCCCCCGCCGGTTGGAGTGGCCTCGCCCGACCCCTCCCAACAGCCCACCTCCCCGAGGGCCCTCCCGCTGTGAGTTCCCGCCCAGATGCGCTCCCCGCCGAGCGAGGCAGAGCGAGGGGCGGAGCGGTGCGCTGAGGCAGACCGCGGTCCCCTTTCGCGCCCCCCTCCCTCCCCCCCGCTTTACTGCGCCAGCGGGGCCGTAGCAGCTGTTTGAGGCGCAAGGCGTGCCTCAAGGCGGACGCCATACGGACAGCGGAACGCGTCAGGACGGCTGTGCTTCCTGCCGCCGTCCGGCGGTCACAGCCTCCCGGGGCGCAGCGGGGGTGTCCGCGGCCCCACTGCTCCTACGCCTGGGCCGTACCTGCCATGGGGCGTGGCGGGGGCCCCAGCAGCGGCACAACGGCGCGGGGCTCCCCGGGACGAGGAGGGGCGGCGCCGCGCAGGGCTGGGCGGACCCCGCGTGGCTCGCAGCGTTGCCGGGGGAAGCGATGGCGGGTGCACGGCGGGAGGAGCCAGCCGGCAGAGTCGGAGGGGCTGCGCCGAGCGGTGTGCCTGCGTGGGGCGGGAGCGGTTCAGGTCGCCTCGCTCTGCCGGGGCATAAAGCTGCTCTCCTGAGGAGGCTGCAGATAGGAAAACCCCTTGCTGTCATGGCTGCCCGCGTGTCTCAGCTTAAGCACGGCTCTGGTGAGATTTCGGGGTGTTTAGTTGTGATAATCACTCCACCCGTACCACCCTTTCTAAAGGACTTGCCTGAGTTCGCACACACAGTCATAGAAAGGCTTAGATTGGAGAGGACCCTACAGCCCCCCCAGCCTCTGCCACGGGCTGTGTGCCCCCAGCTCAGCTTCCAGAGCCACTCAGCCTGGCCTTGGGCGCCTCCAGGGATGGGGCACCCACGGCTCCTGGCGGCCCATGCCCAGGCCTCACCACCCTCTGAGTGAAGAGCTTTTCCCTCACATCTAATCCCAAGCTGCCTTCTTTTAGTTTAAAGCCATTCTTCCTTGTCCTATCACTATTAAAAGTTGCTACCCTTCCTGCTTATAAGCTCCCCTGAAGTATACTGGAAGGCCATGAGGAGATTTTCCCTCGGAGCCTTCTTTAAGCTTTCCTGATGTGGAAGTGATTCCTGCAGGATTTTTGGCTACAATACCTGTGCCTGGTCACTTTGGATTTCATCTCTGCATGAGATCAAGTGTATGTGATTGTTCTTGCTGTTACAGTTCCTAAATGCAGCCAGGTGGCAGTGAAATCATTGTTGCACGCTGCTGGTCGGTTGTGAAAAACAGTATTCAGAAAAACATGCAAATGTGGAGTTTCTTTATTGCCGTTCAGCATTTTTAGTTTCAATAATGTGCACGGTTTGAAAGAGAATGCTTGTGTGTCATAGACATGTGTGAAAAAAGCTTAGAATATCTGACTTCTGATATAATTGGCAAATTGAAAGCTAACTGGATTTCTAAGTTCTATCAAATGAACGCCTAATTATAAGTGGTTATTTATGCAAGTAAAACTTCACAATGATTACAACTACATCCTGCATTGTAGTGAAGGCATGGGGTGGGCTCAGTTCTGCCTGCAGCTAAGGTAGCCTGAAGCTCTGTGCATAATGTGGAAGAGGTCCTGTTGTCATCAGGAGAAAGTTCTCAACTGCCCAACGCTTTTTTTTTCCCGATCACTGCTTAAAGTGTGGCAGATTAGCCTCAGTACTGGGATTGTGCTGTTTGCTCAGGAGATAAGCAGTCATTTGGTCAACATTTCTGCATTCTTGACTGCTGACTTGTGCCTTTCTGTTAGGCATGTCCTTCTGGCTTTGAAGAGTAATAGTGAGATAAACTGAAATTATCTGCCTTTTCCCTAAAAGAGTGGAGGCTGCTTTCTTGTACACAGAAAGAGATGCCAGCTTCTTTTATGGATAGTAATCCGTAAAATTCTCTGCACTGAAGTTTTGGTGTTAGAACGAGCATTTTTATTAGGAGAAAAAGATGCCTTTAAAATAGAGATTTCCTTACATTCATTCCTGTCTCACTTAAAATAGCTGCCTCTCTCTCAGTGATTAAGATGTGTAATTTAAAAGGCTGCTGTGGGGGAGTTTATTTGCAATTAAGTTTATTTTTGATCTTGTGTTTTGCTGTACTGTGCAGAGGGCTGTAGAACTTTGTCAGTGCCGTTCCAGAACAACCTTAGTGCCTTGTTTGAAACTAAAATTCCTCTGATGAAATGCCAGCAATGGCGTAATTGTGTGAATTGTTGCTTTTATTATTTGTGGAGAATGCAAGCTAAAATCTGTTGCATTTGGTTGTGGTTACACTGGCACAGCTCTGTACTCTGTGTTTCCCAGCAGCTGAGGTAGCGTGCGGCGTTCTCGCAGCACTGCTGGCTGCATGGCTACACTCTGCCAAGTGGCCCCACCACCCCACCCAATTTAGCTAAACTGTGTAGCTGTGTGCACCATATCTGGAATTTCAGAATTAATCACACTACCTGTTGCCATGTCTGTCACTTGAAGGCTACCAGTTGCCAAAACTGCTTTTGCCTTAAAGATGAATTTGAAATACCATGCAGAATTGTACAAAAATGAGAAAGGATGAGGTATGTCCATGCTTTCTGAGAATGAAGGTTAACTGTCATATTTTGTTTTGCCAGAAAGATGCAATGAGAATAGTGTTGTCAGTAAGAACTAATCATCGTAAAATCTTTGTGTTTCCATAGATATATAGCAAATATGTACTTAGATATAAGTCAGGATGGCACTCCTTGAAACTGGTAGGGTGATTAAGTAGAGGAGAGATGAGATGACTAAACGATGATGAGATGACTAAACTTGCATTTGAAGATAGGAACATCTTCAGAACGCGTGTGGTTAATTAGTATGGCTAGTTAAGTCAGGTAGAGAGATGAGTCCTATCATTAATGGACCCATGGAAGGCCAGAGCCTGTATCAGGGTGGTGGTCAAGTGATAAGAACAGGTATAAAGAAGTGCTGCAAATACCCTGGAGTGTGCTAGCTTTGTGGAAGATCACATGGCACCCAAACTTGCACAGTTCTCAGTGAGTCAGTATCTCAGCTGTGTGTGTGAGGTTGGCTTACTGCACACTGGGACTTTTTGGACAACAGTTTTCTAAAGATCCAGGTGCAACAGCTGAGAGGCTTTGCCTGTACTGACTTGCAGCAGCACGAGACGGGGGACTGATGGGACTTCAGAGCCCACTGGCCTTTTGTTAGGGGATTCCATCAAATCCTCTCACTTGCTGGGGTGATAAGTGACACTTAAATTGAGATACTGACCTTACAGTGTCAGGGCAGAATAAGAGGCTTTCATTTTGTTGATTTTGTTTGGTAATTAGCCAGCATTTTGTATTTGGTCAGACACATGGATGCCTAAGAGTAGGGTATGTAGGCTTTGATTTTAAAAAAAAAAAAAAAAAAAAAAAAAAAAAAAAAGTGACTTGGAAGTGTGAGAACTGATCTCAGAAAGATGAACCTTTTTCTGAGAAGGGACCTTGTCTGGTACTCCTAGCAGCAAGCACTGTGGTGAAAGTAAAAGGGATTAACTGTTGGGTACATTACAGCAGGAGATAGCAGATCCACAGGAAAAATGGGGAGCTGAGGAATCAATTCCCGAAGCTAAAAATCAGGAGAAATACATAAGCTGCCCTTGGAGCAGTTTGAATACCTTTTTAGGAGTAGACTTTACTCAGGCAATATCAGTTTTGCTTTTGTAACTGATTTTACTCATTTTATATTTTACTTAATTCTCTAGTTATACAGTTTCATTTAAAGAAATAAATGAAAGAACTAATGGAGTAATGCTCCTCCGTTACCTTTGGGGGATACAGAAAACTAAGGGGAATGTATGGAACCAGGGAACCCAAGGGATTGGGATCTGTTTTGTAAAATAATCCAAAAGGCAATTCAAATTGCTAATAAGAGCAATTGCTGGGATTGTGCTCATCTTCTCGAACATGCTGAGCAGGGAATTTCATTAGCTAATATATCTTGGAGAAACTTGTGTGTTGGGACAAATTTTACAGTTGGTGATGACAAAGGAGTGGGAATCTTTTAATTGGGAGGTCCAGTGCGTTCCACTCCTTTGCTCTATGATTTATTCCTTTGTTAGGGGTGAGTGAATTGGAAAAGGGAATCACGAATATGTCAGCCACTGTAGAAGTAATTCAAAATACAACAACGGGTGCTGTTTATGCACCACAGAAAGAAATATCTCAAGCAGGAACGGAAGCCCTCTGAAATAGAATGGCTCTAGGTATGTTGTTTGCCCCAAAAGGAGGGAGTTGTACAGTAATTAATATAAGTTGCTGTTGCTTATATGTAGACCAAAGTGGTAAAACTTCTACAGATTTGGATGAAGTTTGGAAGCAGGCAAAAGTATTGCACGAGGTTCAAAAAGACAGTACTGCTTAGAGGTTTGACAGGTATTCAAATGGTTGGCTTCCTGGTTTCCTGATTTAAGTTTCTGATTTATGAAAGTCACAGCAGCTGCCTTTCTGGTAGTGTTAGCTTTTGTCTGTTTATATGTTGTATTGAAGTGTGTATCTTAAGTGTTGCTTGATGTTAATTAACCAAACTTTGGAGAGTATGAGATTGATATAACCTATATTGTTAGGTAATTCTCAAAGGAAGGAATTGTCAGTAAGAACTAAACTTTGTGTGAATCTTTGTATATGAATCCTTAGATATAGAAAATACGTACTTTTCTCTACTTGAAACTGCTGAAGCGATTAAGAAGAGCAACTCTTAATCACAGTGAGGTGACTAAACTTGTATTTGAAGATAGGAACATCTTCAGAACGCGTGTAGTTAATTAGCACAGCTAGTTAGCCTGAGGATAGGGAGATGAGCCCTATCTTTAACTGATCCACTGAAGACTGGAGCCTGTATCAGGGTGGTGGTCAAGTGATAACAACAGGTATAAAGAAGTGCTGCAAATACCCTGGAGTGTGCTAGCTTTGTGGAAGATCACATGGCACCCAAACTTGCACAGTTCTCAGTGAGTCAGTATCTCAGCTGTGTGTGTGAGGCTGGCTTACTGCACACCGGGTAACGAATCTGCCTTTCGGACAGGAGCAGCACAGTAAATTTGCCCATTCATAAACCTCCACGAGTGGCTGAGCCGTATGTTTGAGCCCTTAGGCTGTAGCTTAGCTGTCTGAAGTGTAGGATGTGCATTTGAAGAAATTTCAGAATATTTTTGCTCTTGCTTCGTAGAAGGGTGTTTTCCATCTTGCATATCTTTGGTCACCTTATCAATGCTTGCTTTTGTTGTATCTGATCAAATCAACGCTAGGTTATAAAAATGTGTTGAGTTGGTAGTGTGGTGTATGCTCAAAATGTGCTAGACAGTTTTAGAGCCACTTTTTTTTCCTAGAGTTGTCAAATGTGTAATTAAAATTCAGTTACTAACATAGTGATTAAAATTCAGCAGTTGTTTTATGCATAATGTATGCTAAAAAAAATGGAAGTATCTGTTTCAGAGTGGGAAGGGAGCTGGACTGATAAAATTTTGCAAGTTGCAATTCGAGAGTTCATAATTAGCATTTTCAGCACATTAATTGTGCAAACGTGTTAAAAAATACTGTGAGGACGATGTAGTGGAAGCTCCTTGGAAACTGCTGTGTTGAAATGACTTGTCAATTTGTGGAAATAATGCTTCACTTTAAGATGGTAAAGCACTGTTGTGCGTTTGCGTTGCTGGTTGTAAATTCCACAGCACTGCGGTGTGGATACGTCTTTAATTTATCTCTGTAGTCTGAGCAAGGAGTTTTACATTGATGTGTCTGGCAGTACTTAGTTTTTGATGGCTGCTCATTTAGAAATGAACCTCTTGGGATTCATTTTTGCAATGCTCACAGCGATGTTTGTAGAGAAGGTGCATATAGTACTGAAAGTGCCATTGCTAATGTGTATTGTGATTTTTCTCTTTTTAGATCTTCTTAGGTCCCTGCCATCAGCTTGGGGCGATGTTCCCCATTGATTGAGAATTTGCAGTAGTTGAGAATATTTAGGAAGCTATCCTTGCTCATCTACCTTCTGTGTCTTGTGGTAAGAGGCTCTTGCAGAAGGTCTAATTAGAGCCTCACTAAAAACTTGTTTTTAGATTATATCTGCTTATTGTCTGCAGTGAGAGACCGACAGGGTGGTGGCCATTGCAATTCTACAAATGCAGAAGGACCTGACAGCATGTAGCAAGCTCCTTTAGTATTGCTAATGTCAGTGTGAAGGATGGAAATAATTTCCATGTTTTGCAAGTGCAGAATTTGAGGTTTGGTTTGCTCAGAGCTGTGAAGAAGTCTTATTGTATCCAGGAAACTCATATATCTGTGTCCTGCAGTTAAACTGCAAAGTGATCCTTCACCCTGGTTGTAAATGTGTAAGAAGGGGCAAAGGAAGAGCATTGGGAGAAAATATCAGTATTTCATACTATGCCTTCAATAGCTGGAGAAAATAAAACATGGATTATTGGACTATATTACCATGTTCTGCTGAATTGCTGCTGCTAAACTTGAAAAATATGAATATCAAGCGTTTGGTGTTTTTGGAGATGAAGCGCTAGGTCCTCCGCAAGTTATGTTCTCATAATTCAAGCAGAGATGGGGTCTGAGGCCTGCTTTGTGATGAGCATTTAGAGAAAATCAGGGTCCGCTGGCTTTCCTGGGGCTTAGATTTCTGTTAAGCTCTCTAGAGGAGCTGCACTCCTTCATGGTCTTTAATTCAAATAATGCTTACCCATTGGATATAGCTTTCCCCATTAAAAGGAGAATCTACTTTTATTGACAGCTGAAATGATGAAGTGCTATAATGGTGCAGAATAGAAAATAGAAAAATGCACAGCTTAATGGACTTATTTTACTTCAAGTTGATGTATAATGAGTATTATTTAGAAAGTCGAGGAAATATGAAACTATGTAAAACTTTATATAAATAAAGAATAACTCAATTCAACTCAGCTAATCAAATTTATTTTGTTATCTAATCACTTGCATGAATCACTGTATATATTATCCCGAAGTATAATCTCAGATTTTCTTAACTCATAACATTCATAGCAAAAATTGTCTGAATATTTAGTAGCTCACTAATTTCCTTTTGAAATTTACATACCACCTTTAGTTATTGCAATCATACATTCCAGTCCATGTCAGAGCTTGAAAATTCATTATCAGCTCTTGTCATATAGAATCCATCTCGTTATCTATGCAACTTTTTTTGTTTGCAAGTTAATTAGAAGCATTTGAATTAACATTGCATTAAATTAGCATTACAATTTAGGTAAAGGCATCTGCTCTAGGCATAGGTTTTAATTTGGCAATATTATAATTAAACAGCGTCGTGGGTATTCTGCTTGCTTTATATCACTTTATGGCTCTGACCTAATGGATACCATAATTTTTTTTCTCTCCTCCAAGTTGGTGCATTTGATTTTCATTCATTCTGCTTTGTGTTTGCTAGTAACTATGACCGTGCCATTTGGAAGCAGTATTTATTTGCAGATTTAAGAATAGAAAGTCAGTACATTCTTGTGGTTGCCCCTGACCATTAAGATTGGAGGAAGGTTCTTTGAGAGAATTTCTAGCCAAGCCATATACAGGTAATCGGACACTACTCCTTTTCTTGCCACTGGCAGACTCCTGTTCAGATAGATAGAAAATCAGCATTAACATTATTAAGAAAAAGGGAGACATGCATTCTCATTAAATATTAAGCAGAAAGTGTTGGCTATTCATGTGCAACTCAGAATGTTCATAATTAGTCTGTATGATTATTTTCATCTTAGAGAGCACAAAGCTAACACCAGGTCTTAGTCTTGCAAACTCTTGGCTTAACGTGGCTATTTGTGGTGAAATTGAACTGCTTGAGAGTATCTTTCCCCCCGAATAGCTAAAGAAGCATTTTGAGCACCATCAAGCTGCACACACAGTGAAATAATAATAAAAAAAAAAAAGTGCAGTGCATGCACTTTTTTGCAGTCCATCAGTATCTCCTGATTTGTAGATACCGTAAGATGGCAGGTTGGATGTGTGATTCCATTTATGGTAAATATGACACGATCGCTCCTATTTTGAGACCCAGTTAAGTGGGCTAAAGATGTTTATCTCTGCATTGGGAATACTGATTTATGGACTACGTTTAAGAAACTGTTTAAACTTTTTGAAAACTGGTTTGAAAATGAGTTTCTGTATCTTTATTGGTGAGATTTTCCTTTATGCAATTCATCAGCTAATTCAGTTTCACATAACTTGAATTCAGTCTTGGCTAACAACTCTATTGATTGTGTGCAAACCAAAATAATATTTTCTCACACTTTTTGTTCTTAATAGCTTGAGGGAGAAGAGGGGAAAGGAAGCATAATGAGTATTTCCTGCAGGTGGGTAAGCAGGTGTAATGCTCGACATGTAGAGTGGGGTGTGAAGATGACATTTTTGATACATTTTCAAAGATTTACTTTAAGCTATGAAGAAGTATGAGGAAAGATTCGTATTTAGAGTAGTCCCAGAGAACTGTCAGCCTGGATTTAAGCTCTCAAAATATGCTTAAAAAGTAACTTTCCCCTCAGTGAGTTAATACAAGTATTTCTGTTGATCTACTCCAGAATCCCTGCTCACGTCAGCTTATTCTCCAAGTTAAAGATAAAACTTTGCTACTCACAGGACAATGAGGTTAGCTGCCCTCGAGTGCTCTTGTAAGAGTTCATTCAAACGAACTTGGCGATAACTCTGTTTAAATCAAGACATGGGTTAAAGAAAAAGATTCAGCCAGTGATCTGCAGTCCTTCCTGTTGCCCATAAGGTTTTCTGTTACTGTATTGGCAGCTCTGGAAGCCAGGTCTGCTCTGTGACCCAGTGCGACAGAGATGGCAAAATATGAGCCTGTCCTAGGATGTTCTTCTTGATTTGCCTTGTTACCCAGGGGCCAGAGTCATTCCCATCTGTTTAAGGTTTCCTAGGAATGGAGATTGGTTTTGTACTGGCACAGTACCATGTCTGGATCAGATGTAGTTTTTAAGTATTTGTTTGGCTGTGTGATATAGCTGTTTGGGAACTATTCAGAGACTTTTGTACTATTATTTGATGGTGGATAATATATTAATTCCAATATCTGCCAGTGCTGGGCTACAAATGGATGAGGCTGGGCTCCTAGTGGTGCATATGGCCAAAAACTCAAACACAGAAAGTTCCATACAAACATGTAGAAGAACTTTGTTGCAGTAAGGGGTGACGGAGCACTGGAACAGGCTGCACAGAGAAGTGGTGGAATCTCCATGGAGATGTTCAAGACCCATCTGAACACCAAGCTGTGTGACATGCTGCAGGGAACTTGCATTAACAGGGGGTTGGACTCCATGATCTCTTGAGGTCCTTGCGATTTTATTTTATGGAGATTTAGCCTTTATCATACTGCTGACTGCTTTAAACATGGAGGTTTTTCTCTTGGTTCTTTAGTCAGTGACCAGGCAGGACCAAGCTTAACCATTATATAAATGTTTGTGTACTGATACTTATTTTTGCTCCTGTTGCATTGTCATTGTTTCTGCATACAAGAGCTTACATCTGGGAGTCTTTTATTATGGAGGTGTTATAAAGACTCCCAGCCTTTGATTTATGCTGAGTGCTTTTAAAAGTTTTCTGCAGGCAGCTGACTGCCGTAACGTTATGCTGGCTATCAAATCTGTGAAAAGGGTGATACTGTGAGCAGCCAGTCTGCTTCCCAGCTGCTGCCGTCAGTACTACGGTGTGTGATCTTAAATCGGCATTGATTTCAGCTTATGTTAATATGTCAGACCGTGACCCTTGACAGCTCTGAGCTCTGACTCACAGTCCTTGCTCCACTTGAGGAAGTTGCCAGCACCATAAAGCAGAGATAACTAAACTCCAAGTGCGCTCAGGTTAATCCAGCAGGAGCCATAAATGAGATTCCTAGATTCATTCTCTGAGAGTTGCAGCAGAACTTGTCTCTTAAGAATGAATGCTTCTCAATAACCTGTCAGCACTGGCCTGATGAAGCCTGGCAGATCACTGCTAGAAGGGTGCATTCCAGCAATATTAAAGTGCATCCCAGTCTCCAGTTTACCCAGTGGATTAGCCAGCATCAGCCTTAAAATATCTCCGGACTGTGGGAGAGTTCCTGCATTATTGGCAGGTTTAAACTTAGCTCTGCCATTGAAGTAAGAATCCATGTTAAATCTTGCCTTTTGGGCAAATTCCTAGAGCTGGTTGCAGGGTCTGGGCTCAACTCTAATTTCCCAAAGTGGTTAATGTTTTGAACTGTTCTCTTTTTAAGACATTCAAACTCTAAACAGTGGAACTGTCCAATAAACCTCTCAGCAGATCTTATTAGCTCAGGCTTAGCACAGTACTCTGGCTTCTGGTTTAGAAGTGGCTTTCATCTGGCTGGCTTTGAATGTGGGCAGAGCTTCCCACTGGCCTTGAAGATACTTTGTAAACATGCTGAGGTGTTACAAAGTGCTGATTAATGCAGTCATAACACACCTCCAGTGTTCACAACATAAATCCAATTTGCAAATAGCAAATACAGGTTATTTCATGTCATGATTCTAATTTCATATCTCGTATTTCACATTTTCTTACTAATAACTCAAAACATCTGGTCTGAAGCATAAGAATAGGTACAAGAGTAAAAAGGTAGGCCAGGCTTTACCTTTTCTTTGAATGCTTCCAGCTCTGCGTCGGTAATTTTCCATGGAGTCTCTCGCTTTAATTTCTCAGCAGTTGTTATATCTTTGCAGCTTTCACGGAGACGATATGGTTCAATCATCTCTTCAAAGAATTTCCAACTGAAACAGGAGTTACAAAGGAGGCCTTGCTTCAGGATATGCACTCGCTAGCTTATTTTGTAGACGCTGTGTATGGCAGGCCCTGCTGACTATAAATGTGGCTTAAAAACATGCAAAAACTTTAACTGTTCTTTGCTGCATTATGCCCCAGGTTTTATCTGTACTTCTTCAGTATGTTAAGGTAATTTGAGGATGACTAAAAGGTTATTTGAGGATAATGAAACACTGTGTTTAGCCTGCTACAATTGCAGAGAATTTGCTGCATTTTCCTGGTTATACAGTTTTACTGTCACAGATGTAATGAAATAGAAAAACAGACGATATAAATCTCCTGTAGCAAGGGGTTGAGGGAAATGCTGCAGCTTTGGGTGTTTGTTGTTGTTGTTGTTTGTTTTTAGTTTTGTTTTTTTTTTTTAGTTTTTGTTATATGGAGATCAGATTTGTAGTCATTTTCCACCTTTTCCATAGTTTCTCTCTTAATTTGTTCTTGAAGCTGTTGATTATCTGGAGAAGTTTATCATCCTGCCGTACATCCCTGCTTGTCTGTTGGTTGGAAATTTCTAGAATCCCACAGAGACTCCAGGAAGTTTATGTTTTGTTAATGCAAATGTGTTTCTATTTCTGTTAATGTGTGTTTTATATTCTATGCTATCTGTGGGGAAAACCGGAGCCTAAAAGAATTAAGAGACTTAACCTTAGGTTGCTCAGTGGAAGGCTCTGGGGGGAGAAGAGGAGCCCTTTGACTGTGAAGTATCTATGGACTATGGGTGGGTTGGAAGGGAGGATAGTAAGATGAGAACATTCTTTAGGACCAAGAGCAATATTATTAATTAGGATTTAGTTGTTCCTAGAGCAAAGCACTATATACTTTTGTATACAAAAAGTAGAAGAAATAGGCTATAGTAATAGAGAGATGCTTTAGAAAGCAGGGAGTCTTGAATATCTTGGATAATCTCCAATGCATGGAAGGAGAAATCCAAATGTTATATGAGCAAGCAGATCACCCTTGAGCAGAAGAGAGAAGGTGCATTTATCCTTTTTACTGGGCTTTTTTACAACAGATTCTGAAGTAAGGGCTTCCTATAATGTGTATATGGAAGGCATTGCTATATGAAGTGCCAGAAAAACCAGGAGACATCTGTGAAGGTCAGATTACTATTATTATTTTTTATAATTTGCTATGGAGAGCAAAATGTTTAGTAGCTGCAGGATCTGAAAATAAGCGTAGCTAATACAGTTGGAGGTGGAGTTTCCTGAGCACTATCTTACCAACTTCCTAACTCACCTGAGAACATTAATTCCATAGATAAATAAAAAATTTTAAAAATGTATTTGAGTTATGGGGGTGTATTATAATATTATTCTCAGGGGAAAGGAAAAAGTATGCTTGTTTTTGACCAGAAAGTTGTTAAGTTTATGAATGCATGGTAAAATGCAGAAAAGTGAGTTAGCAGAGAAGGGAACTGTGACTAACTGGCTAATATGATGAAGTGTATTGCAAACTAATGGATATGAAAAGCCAGTATAAACTGCCCTGTTAAATGTAGTGGCTCTTAAATATATTGTCTGGTTAGTCTTCATTAAAATTATGTCTTACCATTGCAACATGAAGAAAAAGGCTGTCTATAGTTTTGACACTTTGGATTGTGATTGTTAAAATGTTATTCTCTTTTTTCGTGCTCTGGGTACTTGGGAAATTATTGCAATAAAGTGACTGTTATTTCATCATCTTCTTCTTTTTTTTCTTTTTTAAAGCTCAGCATACAAGAAACAAGCTCCTGATAAATGCCTGCTGCTAAATAATGCATTTTGGTAATTTTTCTTACCTCTCTTTGTTGGGTTTCATATTGATGTCACAAATGATATTAATGTCAGCAAATTTTATTCTAAATTTGCTTAGAAGTGAAGCCATCCTGAAAACAAAAGAGATAATATTTTATCATTGTATTTCTGAGTGCCTTGCATCAAAGAGAACGTGTAAATGAGTTAAGATATCAAACGCACTTGTCTCATTACCTTTAACTATATGACAGAGTACTTTAAATGCCCTAGTTAGTGTTTCAGTTTCCAATTACAGAACTGGATTGATGTGATCGCTTTGGTATAATTTATTTAAATGATGATTTATGAAAATAACAAAAACTGAAGAGTGTTTACATTTTGGAAAAATGCATGGATTAAGAACAATTCTTAGTGTAGTTGGTAGTGTATGTTCTAGTGAAAATGTGGTCCAGAATGTTGATATGAAATACCTAAAATATTTTTATGCACAAGTTTATATTGATCTACTCGAATGTTGTCTTTCCATATTTTCATAAGAGAAAATACAGTGCTCTTCTGCACCAATTGACAGTAGGAATAGTTTACAGCTTTGTGTGCTCATGCTGAGTGTAGAGAATCAGTTGTCAGTTTTGCCTTTGGTATAAGTATGGTTGGGAACTCCTAAATTTATTTCTTTTTTACAAACATGTACATATCTGTTCTGCTTAAGGACATTAACTTTAAGGGTAGTCCTTGTAACTGGCAGTACCACAGCAGTGAGGAGGAACTCTCCTCCGTAAAGGTTTCCTTTATGTGGAAACAAAACCTGTGGCAACTGTCTTGATGGGGCACGGTGCTGTAATCCTAGTGATACTGGCTGAATTCATACTCCTGTTCTTGCATCTGTCTTGCCTGCTTTCCACTGGAGTTTTAAATGGAGATAACTAACTACATAGTGCTAATATTTCTTTAAGAAGTAGCATCCATCCCAGATTTTCATCCTAAATTGCCTACTTCACCTGGTAGTGAAATGGCTGTGCCTGTAGTGTGTAAAGTGCTTCAGAAGAAAAGGTCCTACATACAATGATGATAATAAGCTTGTATGAGTACCTTTCATTTGCTTGAAGGCAAATGGTTATGAAATCTAGACTTCTTAAAAAAGTTAACTGACTTGGTCTTTAATTGATTAACTTGATCTTTACCTTCCTTACATTTTTACTATGGTTAATTATATTCATGTGGGCTATGATAGTTGCATATGAGAAGCATCGTGTGCAATTTCACTTACTGTTAACTAGATAATCTCATGTAAATCCCATAAAACAAGTGATAATCTCATTACAGTGTGCAGAGTGCTCTTCTCAGAGAAAGGAATATGAGCTGTTAATGGGAAAATATCTGGATGTGAGTTTTCTTTGGTAATCACCATTTACACTGAGCCTTAAGGCTCATGCCATAAACTCAGCACCTTTCTGCGAGGTACTTTGTTTTTCGTTTAGAACTGCCCATGCTACAGCAAACCTGTTGTCCTGAGTAATTCCAGTTTCTGCTGTATATGTGTTATATTCATCAGTTCAAACTCTTTAAACAGTGAGGCAAAGTAGGGATATTTACGCTAGTTTTTCTTCTTCAATCCTATTGACTTTTCCTCCAGTGAAGATCCTTAATTTGCAATTTTTCCACTTTTTCCTGATAGTTAGAATGTAAGGAATTAGGATTGTTAGACCTAGACAAAGATAGAAAATTGCAGGAAGATAGAATTAGTGCATTGTATGGTAAAAATGCTATCCTTAACCCCACCAACGTTGGAGATGCTTTTTGTCTGTTTATAGTATTTCAAGATAAACTTAACTACATAACTGTAAAACAGTTTTGTGCAAATTCCCAAGTGTTTTTGCGTGGCGACATAGAAATCTCTCTTCCTGTGGTTCTTACATTAATTCCTTACCTCCATCATCGAACAGCCACCAAATGTCAATTGTGCCTTTTCCTTGTTTCTTTTTAAACTGAGTGCTGGCTTCTAGAAGCTTCTGATTGAATTCTCCCACATGCATTGACTGTACTGTGTTAATGGTGCTTTCTGAAATGAGAACAAGAAGATAAGGCAGGTTTCTGAGAAGCTGAATAGCTGTAGGGAGCCATTGGAGAAAAAACATCTGGACTTATTTTGTCACTTTCACATAGTTTTTTTAGTTCCTTTGTACAAAAATAAAGGAGAAAAAGATTTGTGAAATCTTGTTTAACCTTGCCTTAGTTCACCTTTTACTTAGGAACAAGCTGTATGTTTGGGTTTGTCCAAACTCAATCAATTGCTTCTCTAACCTGGCATGTTTGTATGACGTTTGCTATCAGATTCTAAAATCAATTAATCTGCTTGATACCTCAGATCTGTGAGTGCCTCTATAAACTTAGGGAAGTAGAATTGGCTGTTGTTCCCACAAGGAACAAGAACTCATCTTTCTGAAATGTGTGGTTGCATTCTGTTGCCTGAATCAAGGTGGGCAACTAGAAAAGTACTTGTTTGCTGTCACATGGGTTTGCTTTCTTCTTTAGTCTGTCTTGTTAAAACAGATGTGAAATATTTGTGTAAAGACATGACTTGCTTGTGCTTTAATTCCTGTACTCTAAAACTACAGAAGTTGACAGCACAGGTAGTATGGACTCCTAATGTACCAGTACACACAGGAAACAAACCTTCTGTAATATTGTGTCACTGCATCATAATGTCTTCAAAAAGTTTATCTGATTATCTGTTCTCTGGATCTTGTTAACTATCCTAGATTTCACTGGCACTTTCAAAAGCAATTCAGGACTATATGATAAATTTTAGAAATAAATGCCTATTGTTTGGTGTTTGTTTACAAGCTTATCTTCTGTTGGAAAGTACAGAATTTCATAAAGCTAACAGTTAATACAAACCGCTAACTGGTTCTAGCAAGAACACACATTAGACTAAGACTGGAAGGCAGAAAACGGAGGCAAGGATGGCAATTTCTGTGTGCTTGAGAGGGTTGTTATTTCCTGAAAATAAACTTTGCTTCCTGCTCTTTGCTTGGCTGTTGTCAAAAGTTATGGTCCCGTCTATGCACTAATAGCATCTCTAATTCCATCTTTTGAAGCCTGTGGCTTTATTACTGCTTCTCTTCCAATGACTTAAAAAAAGACAATCTCAGAACAGCATAAATGGAGCAGACAGGCTTCTGTAGAGATTTTACTTTGCCGGGTTGCTTTGTTCTGTTTCCTATATTTCTAAAGCATGTACACAACAGTTCTAAAGAAGCTGTGCGCTTTCCTCTATGATTGTAACATTTGTGCTAGAAGATGCAACAACTTTGGGGAGGAAGCATATTATATGATTTGTGCCTTTCTGAACTAAATAAGCAGGTATTTGAAGAAAGGGTGCACATCTCTTGGCGTTTTTTTAAATAAAAATATATTTTACTGAAGCCTGCAAAATGAACTGAAGTCTGCAAAGTAAAGAATAACAACATTTTGTGTTTTCAGTCTGTAGATCTTCTTGATACCTCCAAGAGCTGCGTGCACAGCCAGATGTAATAGACTCTGCAGGTGAAAATTCTGAAAATACTTATCTGCATACAAGCGTAGCTTCAGGTGGGTCATTATCATTGCAGCCTAGCAATTCTGAAATGAGACCTTTAATTTTGTCTGTACTTCTGTCTCATTTTACTATATCTGAAACGTAATTTTGATTTCATATGCTGTACATTTATGTTGTGTTAATTAGTTATTTTACCACATGCTGTATATGTACTTTCAGTATTTTTACCATTTTCATTTGTACATTTTTGTGAAATTATGCTCAGAATATAGAGCAGTAGTGCTGTTTTTACCTGTTTTCCAGATGGATTGTGTGTGTGTGTGTGTGTGTGTGAATGTTGAATAAAATGGGATTGCTTCGTATCTGAGTATTTTGCATGTGTTCCTGTTTTCTTTAGAGGGGGAATAAAGTGGCTTTGTTTAAAAAGAGAAAATACCTGTAAAAAGTAAGACTTGATCTGTGTTCCTCAAGCATTCATAATCACATACAATTTTTGGCAGATGGACTTTTCAACTGAGAGCTTGTTTTTAAATCTATGTAGTGAATGGGAGCAGACAGGAGTTGTGTTCTACATGGTCTTCTACCTCAGGAGGATGTGCTATTCTGGACTATATTATGGCCACTAGGGCATGTTGCACAAGAGAGGCCTCATTCCAGGAGCTTCTGTGTGGCTCGAGAGATTTGGCCTTGGAGTTGAAGTCCAGTTTTTGCATATTGGTGAGAGTGTGATGAATTAAAGTGTCAGGGAGAAGTTCTCCTTTTGAAACTTACCATTTTTTGTTTCATGTTTTGTGATATTGAGCTTTCTGGCTTTTCTGAAGAATCCACAGATGCCACTTCTTTCTTCTTCAAATTCATTTTCTTTAATTGTAGCTTCCAGTACCAATCTCTCCTGCTCCAGCTTCTCTAATTCCTCTGTATATTGGAAAACGTAAGGGAACTGTGAACACATCATTTTCTACTTTAAATAAAATCACTTATTGAAATAATAGTGATGTTATAATTGCTGTTGTAGCTCTTAGTACAAAATGTAAAGCTGCTGGAAGAAAGTACTTTGTTCTTGTGCCAATAGGGAAGAGGAAGCTGAATTAATCTCTGGAATCCTTAACACAGAGTGCCCATGCCTTTTGCAGCAGTGGTGTGTACTAAAGGATTAGTTAACTCTTCCCAGATTTCCTTTTCCAGGCCAAATTCAGTCTTACTGCACTTGATGGTCACTTAAAGTACGCTATGTATTTAGTTATGTTTGTGGGTTGTTTTTCTTAAGAATTTGAAGACACTTTAGGAAAGCTGTTTTCATATAGTGAGAAAGCTGATGTATTTGTTTTAAGCCCTTGGGCCGCTGGACTAAGAACAGGGCTGCATCAATTTGACTTGAGATTCGTGGAAAAATGTGAGGGTACTGAATACGTGATCGGTTTCTATGCTGAAATATTTCTTATTTATTCTTTTAGCATTTGCTGCAAAGAGTTAAGATTTAGCTGAACAATTCTGTAAATTCAGTAATGTAAAAAATAATTCCATCTTAGCAATATTAGACTTCTGCTGAGAAAGGAGAACCATGTGTTATTATGGAATACACTATGGTGAGGTGCTAATTAATATGATACAAACATTTACCTTCAGAAGGCTTTTTTCTAGAGGGAAGGTCGTCCGTTTGAGTTGTATGTGGGCTAAGAGTGAGGTAAATGTTAAGTTGTTTTTTTTTTTTTGTTTGTTTTAAAACAAAGAAAAAACCTCATCAGCTAGACATCATCACCACTGCTGGCACTCTCGGTTGCCAACATAAATGAATATAATTTCTTTTACTTTAGAATCCATGACAACCATATGCTTCTAATTATTAGAGCTGATGATAACCACTAACTTAATGGTTATTCAGAAATAGATTTTCAGTTTCTCTCTTGAACAGAATTTCATAGCAAATAGAAAATAATCATTTTTTTCCATTTCAGAGACTGCATCTGCTTCAAAGCACTTCTGTATATTTGAGGATTTTCTTTGTTTCCCTACTGTTTCTAACTCTCATTTCTAGCGTCTTAATACTTTGTACTTGCTGTAGTTTCACTGGTATTCTAACTAAGGTATTTTTTCATCAGTCAGTTTCTGACTTAGAGCATGCAAAGAGGGTAGAAAGTTCTACTGGAGGTATTAGAGGGGTTGAGGAAAGCATAGATCTTTTGGGTCTATTTTCTTAAGTTCTCGTTTTGTACTGCAGCTCTCCATGCACATCAGGCTGCCAGAGAGGCTGCTTGGTAAATATTTGCATATTCTTTTTTGTGTTTCTGGATCGTTTTAATTCTTAGGTGATTTGCTTTTGAGGGCTGCCTTACCCTAGAATCCATCCTAGAAGGAGGAAAGGTTAGGTAGGAGCTAGACTCAGTTTTATTTAGCTGAGCTAGGATTCTTACGTCCTTTCCGGGTGCTCTTTTAACAGCCGGGAGCGCGATCTGTCAGCAGCTCGGGGATGCTGTGGGGAGAAGCTGGAGGCAGTTTGCAGCAGGCGGCAGCAGAGAGTCGCCGTTCTCCTTTCCTATGAGCATTTCTGCTCTTTTCTATAGGTATTGTCTATAGCACAAAGACTTTCTCTGGTGAGAAGAACATGGGGCTCTGGGAGTATCTCTAGGTTTAGGTTGTATCTGCCTGCTCAAGTAGAGAAGCTTGCAGAAAGTGGGAAAGTTATCATGCTGAAAACATAATTATTGTTCTAATGGGGTCCCTAAATGGAGCTGTTCCCTCCCCAGCATCCATGAAGAGCCAGTTGGACTCTTGTGTCCTAAAGAGGAAAACCAAGGCCACCTCTGTATGTCATTCCTGAAAGCCCTTTGTTTAGATTGTCTGTGTGCTTTCTCTCCATGTTTTCAACCCATATGACATTCTTCCTGAACTCCATGGCAAAAGGTTTTTGAGGGAAAACTCTTTCCCTGAGGGAACTCTTAAAGGGTATATACTGCTAATCTGAGGAAGAATGAACAAAAAAGTGGAAAGGGGAATTGATTGCTTCCTGTGATTTCAAGATTTTTATGGCTTTCTGGGTCACTGAAAGCATAGCTTCCCAATTCCCAGCAGCCCATAGGTCTCAGGTAGGCAGTGAGGAAGATGTGTCAAAAGCAGGAAGCAGCCATGCTGCACAGTGACAGGCTGCTCTGGCACAGCGTGATTTTACTGCTTTAGCTTGTGCCTGTGCTAGAAGTGCTTTGGAAGTTGAGTTATCTGGTGTGTAGAACTTATAACTTTGTGAGGCTTGGCCTTCTCTGCAACTGCCAGAGGATGTTGGCTTTAGCAAGGATTTTTGGCAGAATTGAAACTGAAGAAGCAATGAGGAAATGTAGAGGTCACGTGTAGAAACTACTCTATAAGCTGGATAGTGGCACTACATGTATTCATCAGTCTTCCTTGTGCAGAGCCTGTAGCAATTGTGCATGTGAAATATAATTTAGATGTTGAGATAACACATACCTTGAACCTGGAGTACCTGAGATATATCAAATCCTTGGCTAATTCTGACAATAATCATGCCAAGTTCAAAATCAAAGGCATCACTGCAAAAGAAGAGAATATATCCTTTTGTATCATGTATGTTGCTGATGGAAAGCTACCTTGAGCATCTGCTCAGTGTTAGTACTCAGTGGGAGTTATTACTGCCGTGTGCTGGGCTGTTCTGGATAAAATTGCAGGAGGTATTGTCCAAGATTAAGTACTGTTCAGTATCAACATTATTTTTCATTAAAGAAAAAAAAAAAAAGTAAGAGTACTACTACTGGGTATGGGAAAAGATAGGCTATTCCTTAAAATGGGTCTTTCATACAGCACTTTTTAGGAGCTAGGCTGCCAGTAGGTAATTTTTTCTCCCTGCTCTAAGGAAATAAAAAAGCTGCGGTGGGTTTTGCTGCAGTTTTGCAGGTGAATTTTGAACAAGAATCCGAGAAGACTGTTTCTAAATGACTGTTTCTGGCTAAATCCCAACCCACAGAGCTGCTGAGCCTTTGGCACACAAGAGATTTGAAGCAAGGCTCTTTGTCTGTCTCCTAGGCTTAAAAGAAGAATTCCATGATGTTCTCTTATTCCCTAAGTATGTGCATTAGGGTTGTTTTTCACTGAGCTCCAGCCTACAAAAAAAAAAGGGAAAATATAGTTCTGCAAAAGCACTGCTGACAGCCGTGCAGCTTCTTTATGTAACGTTGTCAAGCCACATAATCTCTGATTGTGCCAGATGTTTGCTGAGCAGATCTCGCTAGGTGCGTGAAGCCGTGGAGCTTTTTGTAATGAACAGAAACTTCTGTTTTAGAGCTAGCATTTGTGAACCCAGATCTCTAGGTATATTCTTACATTGTTTCTACTTGTCAAATTCTGTATGTAAATGTAGTATTAATACAGAATAGAGGGAGAAAATAGGGGTGATGCTGATCTGGTACTTACTGTATAACACCCACATAGTTTTCAACTTGTGTGACAGCAGCACTTCTCCAGTCCTTCTTAAATCCAATCACCAAAGTATTTGGTTTCATTCTACCCAATCCTGAGGCCTATCAATGTTAAAGCACTTCATGAGAACATACACACACGCGCTCTTACTGTAAATGAGAAGTAATGGTGAAAAATAACTGAAGTAATGTAGTGGAGAGGCTTGTGCCTAGATTGCATTTCATGAATGTCCTTCACGCTCATACCCGTGTAAAAAGATTAGCTCTAAATCATTCCAACTATAAATGATTTTTAGATGTCAGAAATGTAGTTTTGCTAAATTAGCATTCATTTGCATTTCTTCTGACATGCTCTTATTAAAATGGTTCAATAACTTGGAATCAAGAGAGAGTTCAAGTGCTGTTTGTATGCTCATTCTAACGTAATAGCATAAAGCTTTTATCAGATTTGGAATACCCAATAGACGGCCTGTCTTCCTTTTAAATACCTCAGATATGCAGAGAAGGCATACCCTCTCAATAATATATATCCTTTTTGCCTTGAGCTTAGAAACTGCTTCTATTCTGTTTGTCATATTCTTTCCAAAGGATTATCTGTCCAAACTAGCTAGATATGCTTTATAGATAAAAGTACAGTTTATAAACATGAACAAATGGTTTGTCAAGATTTTAGATCGTCCCCAGAACTGAGTCTGGATACTAAAACCTGAAAAAATAAGGGCTATCAGGTCTGTATTCAGGTAACCTAACTCTTACAGAAATCTAAATACTCAGTGTATGGGGGAACTTTGAGGAGGACACCCACAGATACACTAGCTTATAACTTATACAAGTTACTACACTTGCCAATTTTTACTGTAAGCAAAAGGAAAATAGATAGAAATGTAGAGTCTTGGAGATTGTTTTTATGAGGGCCGCTCCAAAACTAATCCTAATCCCTCCTGTTTTAGTATGTTGGCCCACAGGAGGCAGACACAGGTGGTATGACAGTAGAGGCTGAACCTTCCTGCTGATATTTCATTACGTGTTGTTGCTGTGCAACAGATGGCAGCAGAGGGGCAGTCTGGTAAAATGGTGCTTGACACAGAAGTCTTGCAGAAAACATTGCGCCCACTGAGATTTGTTGACACTTGCTGAACATTTATGGAGACCAAACAGTGGAAGTGAGCACAGTGAGATGATGGGTGGTATGTTTCAGCTGTGGTGCCAGTGCCATGAAACACAAGCCATGTTTTACATGGCAGTGCCCAACTGTCCCGCTGTGAAATGAAGAGCATTTCAATCAGCTCATCTGCATGAATCAGCTAATGATGGTGAATATATTGAGAAATAGTATCTTGTAGCTGAGAACTTGCTCTCATAGCGTTACTGTGCTCTTTGTATCAGTTGTGATTGGAAAGAAATAGAAGGCATTACTTTCAGAATGACTGAAAATTAGAGTAGTACTGTTGCATTTGCATTGCCTTAAATGATTCACTGCTTGACAAACCAACACAGGTGTCCTTAGCATATCATAATGATGATAAAGTTATCCTTTTGTCTGCTGGAAGGGAATAATTTGTGGCTTAAATAGTAACAGAAAGGAAAAGATCTGACTATGACAGTTCTTAGAAGCATTACAGGGATCTCCTACTGAGACAATACATAAACTGAGGGTGAAATATCCATGTCGGGTTCTGATAGAATGAATTTTCTCTACATTTGTTCTCAGAATGAAATTTCTCTACATTCTCCACATATTTAAATTTTCAGATATATGAGAGAGAGAGAGGGAGATGGTAAGTACAAAAATAGGGCTTCTGTGCTACTTTTGTTGAAATCATTTTAAATTTAAAAATTCAAGTTAATTTAAGTGAACTTTTGGAAGTGGTCTGCTGTATTCTTAGAATAGGAGAAAAATACTGCATGCTTGTTTAGATAGCCTTTGCTGTTAAAAAAAAAAATGGTTATTACACTGAATTTTCAGTGAACACAGTAACATTCTTAGATACTTAATCTGTTGTGTAATGCCATGCAATCAAATTGATTTGAAGTGTATCATGTGACAGCTGCACAGAGATTCATGCTGTCCTGTAGATACCTATCTCTCTCTCTCTCTCTTTCTTTTTGTAATAATCCTGTTTTGTTCATTTAGGAAACAATTAGCCAGCCTAGTCTCATAATTCCATAGCCCAGAACTATACCTTATTATGAAATAACCTGTGTTGTAAACATATGTACCCTCAGAATGCCCTCTCTACTACATTTTCCATATATATATATATGGGACTTGTTAATAAGCAAACAGAAATGCTTTCCAAATAAGGATGCTTTGATGTATCACTCTTGTGTGCATTCTGTAAACAAAAAGCTTACTTGAAGGAGACTTTTCACTCCATCTCTGAAGCTGTCAGCTGCCACTGCTGCATAAAAGGCTTTTCTTTTGTTCTTTGTAAGCCAGGCCTGCTTTTTTGCCATGCCACTGTTCATCTCCTTAACACACAGCTTGCGTGGTCCCTGTGTGATACAGTAACATATTATTAAGAATGCTATGTATTATACATCATAGAGTGATTTTGAAGGTGTTACTTTGTCTGCTGTGGGACCGGGGAGAGTAAAAAAAAAACAAACCAACATGCCATATTTATTGTACCTATCTCTAAACTATTCATTACCATGTTCTCTGAAAATTTCTTGCTGCCCTTTGCAAAGAGGGAATGGGAGATGTTCCCTTTAGCACAGTATCTCAAAACATTATGTGTTGCTAGCAGTGTGTCCACTTTAAGGCAAAATATTGGACGTTACTTTTATGGCTAAATGGTCTTGCTATGTTTGTTATGATATATACTGTAGTTTTCAACATGGTGTCTGGGTTCCCAGTCCTGGCTCTTTCTGGAGCCCTGCAAGCTTCTGTGGCAGTAAGATATCTCACAAGGTTGTATTGTGCCAGCAAACTGCTTCTAAGTGCTTGGCATTCCCACTCTCAGAAATTTTATTATTTACTTGCGGTCATGGTTCTGTGGTCTGTGAAGGTTCACTGTGTCACAGCATCATGACCAACCAAACTAAATTTACTTTATGTTACTGAAGAAATAATAATAGTAAAAAATGCTTACTCTTGGAAAATAAATATAGGTTTTTTAATAGACTACAGTGAAATCTTAGTTCTACGTAGAAAGTGCTAATTTTAGAGAAACATCTAATAAATCAGGAAAGTTGCTGAAACTCAACTTTATGAAGCTGTTTAGTTTCAGGATCTTATTGGGTTTGATTCTGTACTTAGTGGATGCAGGAGTAAGGCTACAAATTATGGTAGAGAAGGATTACAGTCATTCACTTTTTATAGATTTGTTCAATTTGGAAAGAGTCACATTTAGCTCTTCCATACTCTCTTTCCTCAAAGTGACAGCATCAAATGAATTATTCTTATACTCATGTGGAAGAATACACTATCTTGTCTGGACTGGTTCTATTAGTTAGATTCTGCAGCATGTTTTGATGCCATGAGCCTTTTATTTTTTTCCCCTCAAAAGGTTGTTGTAATATTTAAAATACATCTTCTACTACGAGCCCATCTATTTTAATTCTGTCCTAATGAGAGGCTAGGTGATCATCCTTTATAAGTAGACAGGAAATTATGAATTTTAGCTAGAAATATACTTTGCTTCTAAGAAGATCTAAGAAAAGCATGTTTATCCTCAAAAATCAGCTTTGTTACAATTTTGGAGAAACCACTGCACAGAGGTCTGAATTATATGCCAAATCCCAGCACTGCACATCAGTGACAAAGCTAGAAATAGAGCTTAGTTAATTTGACTCTTTTGCTATATTCCTGACAGAACTCTGCCTCCCTAATTTTATTTTTTAGCCTTACTGTATCAATTAAAAAATATATATATTCACTTGTAATGCTTTATTTTTTCAAACCTTTATCGGTTTTTTGGTTCGTCTGCTATGAACTCTGAAATGCATCTCAATGAGGCATTTACCAGGAGGCTCTGTATCAGCCGATAGCTTTCTTGTCAAGGCTTATGACAAAATTCATTCTCAGTACGAATCTTTTTCACGGTCTGCACAGAAGCCCATCAGCACCATTGGGAACATTTTGTGCCAAGTGAGAGTGGAATGTGTAATGGGGATCTGCAGCACCCACTGGTGCTGAATTTTCAGATCTATATGAGTTGACCTTACCGTGTACACTTCACAACAGATGCACAGACCATTGTTCTTTGTGAAAGTGTGTGTGATGTCGAGCAGAGCAGGCCTGATCATAGGAGCTCCTGTTAATGCTATGCACTGGGGTCTGTTAGGAGGGAAAAGGTTGTATTTAATTGGGAGATGTACTTAGCCTGAATAAACCATTCTATTTTGCACTGGAAATCTTACCTGAAGTTTTTCACGTGATCTTCCACTGTAGCTAATGCCAGTGCACTGTCTAAGGCCTTAATATAGCAAAGAGCCTGTGTGGAAGAGCCCCAGTTTACTTCTGCATATAATAAAGATAAATAATGCATGTTAAACCATGGGCTTTTCTCTGTTCTGTTACAAAGGTCAGGAGTCATTTACCTCTGAGCCAAAGCAGGGTATATTCTATTGTGCTTTGTCGATACACATCTATCATTCTTTGTGCGTCATGAGAATAGGTTTGGTTATGCAAACATGCAAATAAATCATCTCATTCTTTCAAAGTAAAACATAAGCAGTGTTTTTCCTCTGCTCAATAAATGTTTTCTTCTCTGTTTCATAGAGTTTGTACCCTTCTCCCATGTATAAAATGGACAGCCCCGAGTAATGCATTTGTATTTGTATGTAACGTCATGAAGTTCAAATTAATCCATTAGGAGGCATCATCACCAGCTCCAATTACTTCTGTTCTACTATATGGGTCAAAAGTTGCTCTCCAGAACCAATTTTGGCATACCTATCCTTTCTTCTCTATTGTACAGCCATTTGGTGGAAGGAGACAGATGAAAAAACAACCTTTGAGGAATATTAGACTTTTCTGAACCACTCAGTTGTTGGTAGGTGAGTGCTGAACAGAAGTTATTATCCTTGGAGAGCTGGAAATTGATAGCTTTTGTACAGTGTCTTCAGTGAATTTAACCAGACCTTAAGCTGCTACTTTGCAGCAAGGACACTGCAATAAGCTAGGAGAAGGATAGCAATCTTCAGATGCCTTTCTGACACATTGCTTTTCACAGGTGCATTCCCTACAGCTGATGATCTTTACAGAAAGAGATCCACATGCCATCTCAGTAGGTATGAGAGCAAGCAAAAATAGAGAAAACAGAGAAAAGGAAAACTTAGGAACTTAGGCACAGACCAGGTGCTGCTATCCCAAGATGAGCAATGAAAGTACGTCTTATGTTGGGAAACTCATCTTTTTTCCTTGAATTATTTATTCTACTGAACAAGTAAATCAGATGGTTTGCATGAAATCTGAATGTGGGTTAATTTAGTCTAGGAAATGAAAAAAAGACTAAGTGGTCTCATACTGATGCTGTACTACATTAGCGCACAGATTCCTGAGCACTGCTCCTGTGATTAACTGAGCTACTAAGTAATCTTTTTCAACAGTAAAATGTTCCTATTTTTCTTAATTTAGTGAGAAATTGTAGCAAGGCACTGGAAAAAGATCAGTTCACAAATAATGCATCTTGTATTGTTGTCATATAATGGGCAGAAAGTTTCTCTTTTGAATGAGAGTCCCAGATAAGACAGCTAAGAGCACAGCAAAATTCAAGCAAGCTTTTGTGGATGGATGAAGAAAAGTTACAAGTGGTAGTAAAGCAAAAGCCCAGATTAACTCTTATTAAAGATGTGGGAGTAAAATGATGCACTGGGATGTTTATAGAAAGCCCTGAACCATTTTTGAAATGAGTGTTTAACAGTGAAAAGTTCACCAGGATATTGTCTTACTGTATATTATGTAAAGTGGGATTTAATATGGTGGTTCAGACTTTCCTCTAAAGAATGGTGCTGAAGAAAAAGGACGGTCTATTTCTGTAAGCAGAATTAATTCTGATAAAGTCCAGTGAGGCTGCTAAACATACACAAAATAAGTCTTGTGGCCTTACCTGGTTTCTTATATGTTACATAAATATATAGAAAGAGTTCAATGACATAAGTGATGAGAGCTGCCCACCAGTTGATGACAAACATAACGCCACAGCACAACAGGGCTCCAAAAAGGGATATCCACATGTTATAATACCTGAATGCAGGTCTCCAACCTGTTTAAAGAGAATTGAAGGGATTGGAAGGGTAGAAGATAAATTGAGCAGATGGCAATCCACTGACTTTGCACATACAGACCCACATGCAGTTTTTTTCAGCTCTGTCAGAAGGGGTGGGAAAGATTCATGCATATTCTCAGGCAGTTTATCAACAGGTGCTTCCAGGTATTAACTGATGTAGATTTCTATCTGCACTGAGCACTGGAGCTTGCAAGGCTTTCGCTATAATGTTTTCTCCTATGTCCAGCTTGGCTTTGAGTGGCTGTTCTTTTTATACACATTTTTACCAAATTAAAGTTCACTGGTTCGGAACTGAAAATAGGTTTTCCTTTAACTCCAGTAATAGGCTATTATGTCCTTTTGATGCATATGTATAGAACTTATTAATGGAAACTAAATGCTTGCTGAGAGGAAAGTATATACTAATATTCCAAGTACACGTGTATTTTAAACTTGGCAATTGTCTGGCCTTGACGCATAAAAATAAAATAATTTGCAGTTGTCTTTAAAGAGATATTATTCCTGCTGCTCTTCAGCTGCAGTATTGAATCCTTCCCCTGCTAGCAATTAAAATGAGACAAGCAGTGAGTCTCCGTGGTTTGCAGGTCTCTGCCAGGTGTTCTGCAGAGCAGACCCTTCTGGAGAGAGGGAAAAACACTGAAGATACAAGGAGAGGCTGAGCAACCCTGTCTTGGATCGTCTTTGTAATGAGGGAATGGGAAGGTCCTGCTGTGAAGAAATTTGCTGTCCTGCAGGCTTGCAATTATAATAATCTATCACTGTGAATTGGCAGAAATTAACTGGGGGAAATGAGAAAAGAAAAAAAATGGCTGCAGTTTTGTCAGAAAATGTTAAGTAGTGGCAGAGTTGAAACAGATGCACATACACAAAGTCTGTAAAAGTAATTTTTACTCAGCTCTAAGGCCACATAGAGCAGATCTGCATTTGTTCAGCTGTGCAGGTAATTAGCAGAAGTGCTCATCTTTTCTGCCCTCTGAACAAATGGCACCATGCAGATCTGTAGGAAGGAAGTTGATGTAAGCATTTATGCTACCACTGCAGGTTTCTTCACACTGGAAATAAAAAATGTATTCCTTGCTTCTAGAATTGAATAACTGATTCATAGTAGCAGGAAATTGTCTTTCCTTTTTGCCCACAGTCGTGCTGCTCAGCTGATTGACTTTTGTTCTTAATAATGATGTTGAGGTGGATTATTCTGATGTGGTGATGCGTATGCCTGTAAGCCTGTATTTTCCCTTGCAGTGCAAATGTAGAGAGTGACTCTCAAGATATCCTTGTACAGGACCTCATTGTACTCTACCCTACAATTCTGCTACTAGCCACTGCGGAGCTATCTTAATGTTGGTCTGGGGAACTGTTCTTGTTCTGTGTGTTTTCTTCCAGGCTGTATCACTTCCATCACAATTACTGTTCTTACAAACTTTCTTCAACTGTGACTGTAGTTTTGGCAGGAGGGCATAAAGACCCCATTTCACCTTACTTACTTTATGTGGTCAGAGATACTATACGTTTTTTATCCATCTCTGTTGACTGATAGTGAGGGGAAAAACACCCTAAGGAGCAGCTTTCTTGCTCCAGTGAGATCCACCAAAGCCTTTTTCATCTTACACAACTGCAGGGAACATAAGGGAAAGAGCCATTATTTTTGTCTTTTGGAGATAAATAAAATGTCATCATATTCAATGGGAGCAGTAAAACCTGAAATCACGTAGCTTAGATGTTTTACAGGTACTGCAGCTTTCTCTGACACACAGTCAAGAACTTGCAGAGATGAGTTTGTGAAGCCCACACTGAAATCACTGGTGAATACCGACTCACCTGGAGATTTTGCGTATGAGGCATGAAAGCAGGAGAAATTAATCAAAGCATATGAAGCCAGGAAGAAATTGGAGATGATGGGAGCAATGGTGTTCAGTTGAGCTGCAAGACACAATTCAGACGTAGGTACGTAGGTTCCTAAGTTGTGTTACAGCTTTTTCCTGACAATACATTAAATCTGTATACTGTCTGGATTTGTTGTCCAGAGAGAGTTCCAGTATTTTTCTGTGGAACTAATTTAAGGTCACCTTGATATACCTCATTTCATACCAATGTGTCTGTTCATTTATATAATCTATACTCTATGCAAGGTTATACTTGACGCTCTGATTCTACAGATTGCCTCTTAATGATGTGGAGCTGATGTAAGTTTCAGAACTTCAAATATGTAATTTAGAGGACAGATGTGATCCTAAAAAGGCTACTATTAATTTGTAGTTAAAAAGTATTGTTTTGCTTTTTAAATGGCAATCTGGATTCTCCTAACTACACTTTGCATTTATTGACAGTGCCACACGATTTGAAATTGAAGTCCTGGAGAAATCAATTTTAAAATTTCAACACTTCCAAATGTACTGCTAATATATGATTAATATTGTATGTGATAGCACACTCAATACAGTAGCTGGGATTTTCTGATGCCAGTGCTAGTAATTTGAGCTGTGTTTTTGAGCTAATTACAGAGAAGGCTTGGCAGAGCAGGCCTCCTAATTGCATCAAAATTATTTCACTTCTATATGCAGTATAAACTAGAAATATATTTTCTAAGTTTGCCATATTTGACATAGTTTGGGTGTGCTAACTTGGTTGGAATCTTTTCTAACTATAGCTAATCATTGTGTTAAGATATCAGTTTATAGAATTTCAGAACATCAGATTGTTGCATTTATGTAACTGCATACAAACCAATCAAAATGAACGCCATAGCAATCACAAAAGTGAGTACGTATCCTCTGATTGGCTCGTTGTTTTTTCCGTATCCTTTGGCAAAGAAGTGGAGTCCTTTGTAGACATTGTCCTTGCAAAGAGCCTGGGGGACAAATCAGAACTTAATTCTGCTAAGCAGGGCATTCTTGCATCGGAAGAAGTTTTCTGTGAGTGACAGCTTACTAGACTTTAGCTAAACAAAAATTTAATCTAACTTAGTAGTTTAAATACGTCTACTGCTATGGCATATAAACATTCAAATAAGGTGATAAGCGAATATCTTGCCAAATCAAAACAAAATCACAGACATTTAACACTTATTCAGTGCTTTAAAGAGACATTAATAGAGTATCTAAACAGAGCTTAAGTTGATGGGAACTGAAGCAGAAGTCAGATCTGTGCAAGTTATCTGTCTGTCCCGTGCCCTCCATTGCCATTCTGTGTGCGTTGCTGCTTCCAACAGCTTGTGGACAGCATGTCTCAGCACACCTGCCAGCACAGGAATGAGAGCTTCTGCAGATTCCTGGCATTCCTGAGGCTGGCTCTCTCAGGAGATAGTGGTCCTGAAGGTAGCCTTGAAGTTAACAAACACGTGTGCATCCCCCTCTCCTCTCCTGCCACCAAGCTGAGCTCTGACCAAAGGCATGCAGCAATCCTAAATGCCCATGTCTGTAGCAAGGTGATAAGACCTGCCTATTTCTGTAGAAATACATATATCAGCATTATTCAAATACCTATTGCACTTGGCACATAGAGTTCAGCTAAATTGTTTATTTTTGAAGTAAAATAGAGTATAAAGAAATGGATACTTGGATTTCTACCTGAAAAACTTTGGGTGCGCTGACCAGAGATGCCAGAGCTGATGACAGAGTAGCAGAAAAGATGCCAGCTGTGATGAGAGGACCGAAGCCAGACACCATACTCATCACCTGTAGAAAAAAAAGAAGGGAAAAAAATAGCCAGGCTTGCATTTGAATACATTTTTTAATCACAGATCTGTTTAATTAGTATGTTTCTGCGTGTCTCAGCTTTTAGTAGTCCTAAATTCAATATATATATATACTACAAAGCTGCTGTGAGGTATGGGAATACTATTATTCATTTTTTAGTGGAAAGCAACTGAGCCACGGCCAAATGTGAATACAAACCTGCAGCTGTGTGCAAGGGCACATGAGTACTCTGAGATTTTCTTACCTCCTTCACTAATTTACTGCCATAAGTAACGGCCTCTGCTTGACAGGTAAACACTTGTAGCAAGAAGGGAAAGTGGAAACAGCAGGACAGAACCCTGAAGTATTTAATATGGTCAAAGAGATTTGTGTTTGTTGGGGTTTTAATATTATTTAACACAGCTAAAAAAGGAAGAGAATGTGCGTCTGTGCTGGTACAACAGCAGTTCTGCAAACAGCAGTGGTGGGCACCATCAGGCCTCTCTTTCCTGGGGCCTTTCCTGGCCTTCACCACCATTAAACCAAAAGGGTTGTTAAGTTCAGAAGCAGCAGAGAAGGAGGTAAAAAGATGAAGTAGATGGATGTGATTGCCTGATACTTTTGGTGTGTTAGAAGTACTCCAGGAAAGAGAACAGTTAATTCTAGAGATTTGTCAACTGAAAATTTGGCTTTTCTGACGTCAGTCTGGCAAGGATAAATGCATAAAATGAAATTCTGTTCATGCTTTTGGCGAGGTCCTTTTTCTGAAGGGTTCCCCTGAGTTTGAGCATCTGAGCTCAGGTGGAAATGAGGATGGAAGGAAAGCAGTCTGCACTACAGATAGCATATCCCTTTAAAGGTTTTTACCCAGCCCTGTCATTTAGCAGAAGCAGTTGGGAAAAAAAGCAAGTGACTTTGAAAGCTCCAAATGGCGAGTTGAAAAGCAAGTGCAGGTAGGCGGTGAGCTCCTCTGGTGGCTGTGAAGCAGAGAGGCTGCACAGACATCTGGGAGCAATGGTCGTGGTCGTGCAGAACTGCTTTACTTTGATCCTTTGCCTAAGCTTTGTTTTGAAGAATAGAAATGGCGCTCTGTCTGGCCTTGGAGAAAGATCTTGTTACTTTTCACTTGGTTTTTCACTTGACTATTTCAGATACTTTTTTAGAAGAAGTCTGAACTTTGGCTTTTGTATTGTGGATTAAACCTTTAAGAGCAGCCGCAGCACCCCTGAGGTGAAACCACATCCATGTGTTAAGAAAAGTGAGATGAACTGCTCATCTGGCAGGAATTCCAGATGTCTCTGTTAAGCCTAGGCTTCGAGTTTGAAGGTGTTGGAGGATATACTCCTGCATGGTACTTGTTGAAAGAGGTTAGGATGTTACCAGAGTACTGGGAAGACTAGTGGCGTCAGTTAGCGTCCATGAAGCTAACATGAAATGCGCAGACTTTTCACATTACTCCTGTTTTTTGATTTTTACTAGATAAAAGTGAATTTCCTATTGCTGTCACTTGTCAGTAAATAATATCTTCGCATGTTTGTACTAAAGTGTTTGTGCATCACTTATGGTTGTATATGTTATTAAAACCTGAAAATTATTCATCAGCCCATAATCACATGGCTGACTTCTGCATCTGGAAAAATCATAGCCTAGGTTGCAGGCAGATGATCCATTGCAACTCATCCCAGGTGTAACTGTATCATTGATGTTCCCAGTAGCATCTCGTACAACACAGGAGGCTGTGGAAACAAGAATATACTATTACTTTCCTTTCTTGTGACAACAGAATGATGTTCTTGCCATGCTGTGATTGTTGGTCTATATATGTTTTGTTCAATCTCTACTTTAGCATCATCTCAAAAAGTAATGTTTTGTGTTAGGCCCAATTTACTTCCCCGTATTATAGATTTTCATGTTATTTGTAGACAGCTATTTTCTTCTGTTACTCTTAAAATAATAATCCAGTTGACTAAAGAAGACATGCATTTATCTAAGAGTAGAGAAACAGATGCTCTGGAGATCAACAATGTATTAACTAAGAAGTATATTGTCAGTCTGACGCCACTTTTCCAGGAGACAGTATTCAAAGGTATCATTGCAGTGAGGATCTTAGGTCTAGGCATATTTCTTCTGGTGTATCAAGGGCACACAATTACTTTGGAGCCCCAGATCCTTAGCTGTTTAAATTGTCACAGCCCTACAGATACTAATACAGCAAGAAAAACTTCTAACAGGAGTAAATTGTCTATGTTCTCTGTGTTTAATAAGGGCATATTTATGCTGTCTTTTTTTGTTTGCTACCAGAAATGGAAAAAAAAAAAAAAACCACCAACAATTGATAACTACATTTTTAGCAGCCAAAATGTGAATTTACATGAAATTTTCAAATATGTTGAGAATCCCAAAATAAACATCATCTCCTTAGAAACTAGATAAGGAAATAGGAAAAAGTATTGCACTGAAAGGTAGACAGCTCTGAAGCTATTGCTTATCAAAACAGGACAATGCAGTAACACAGGTTTATAATAGAAAGTGAAGAATAACTGTTCCAACTGTAGTTGCAGGTGAAATTTAGGTCTAAATGTAACATCTGACTTGGGTATTCTGCCTTTTTGCATAAAGTACAAAAAAGGGAGTCCCTGCAGGGCTTTCATACAGTGCTGAGGTATTTGCTCACAAGGAAGAGCATCATTTACAACACTCTTTATTACAGTACTGTTCAAGTAGAAGAAAAATCTTTATTTCTTGAACAGAGGTTTATTGTATCCTTGTAATGAGAATGTAATTCTGTGTTCTTCCAACACCAGTTCATGGCTGCAGTACAGGCCTCATTTTGATACCTGTGTGCTTTTTTGTTACCTCACACTGTAGAGCAGTTAGTGACATAGCACATCTTCATGGAGAGATACAATTGGTTTTAATGTTGACACACAACAGATAAAACAAACAGATAAAACAAACGTTGCCACGTCACTTGTGAGTGCTCAGTAAGACTAAGGAGAACAAGAAGAAGCCATGTGAAACCTCAATATGAAGGAAAAACGAAGATGAGCAGATTGATCTGAGGTTCCTTGAATGCACTCATGGATGCTACCAGATAGTTGTCTTTGATGCTGAATCAAATGTAAAAGCAATCAAAGTACATGAAAATCCATCTTCTATGTGAATTAAAACAGGACAAATGCCACCCGGCTTCTGAAACAGAGACTTTTGTTTCTGCTTATTATTTCTTTTAATTCGCTGTTCTTACATGCAATAAAATCAAAGCAACTACCTCTACATAATAAATCCACAGGACTAATCACTCCTTTGTATACCAGGCTTTCAGATTTTCTTAGCTGTATAAATTAAGTCACGAAACAGAGGTTCTTTGCTTACCTGCACATACCGCAACGGCTATGTAAGCAACTGTTGTTATCAGAATGGCCAGCATTGTTCCTTTGGGTATCGCACCCTGCGGATCCTTAAAATAAAGCAGTGATCCAAAAAACACTGAGTTCACATGCTGCACTCTGTATACTGGTGAGTCCTATCACACTGTGATATGGAGAAGGTAGATTTTTATCACTTAGAGCTGCCCATATCTCCTGTCCCTGTGCATGCATAGCCATGAAGCGGTTGTTGGTGCAGTGCTCCTACCTTCGGCATAGTGTAGGATTTTCAGCAGGAGTGGGACTAACTCTGCATTTCTGAGTGCTCTGAACTCCCCCTACACTGCAGTGAGCTTTATTTTAATGTCTTAATGGTGAAATGGTACATAGTTGCTGAACTAATCAAACTGCTTGATTCAGTGGGTCCAGATGATGTTCATTTTCAGGCCATGAGTCTATTCCATTCAACATGATGCCTTTTCCTCTGGCAGCAGGACGCAGTTGTACAGGCAGCCACTTTAGGACATGATTACAGCTCATGTTCCTATAACAGCTTGGCACTAAACCTTCTGCGCCTTCATAAAGATCAGGCTTTTGGTGTAAGCAATTGTTTAAGCAAGTATAATGCAGTTCTGCATTAATGCAGTTTATGAAGTTGCCTTGACACTTGTGTGGATGAGAAGATGAGACTGTTTTTGGTTCGTCAGCATGATAGTTGCACATAAGTTACGTGGAGCAGAATACAGGACTTCTGTGATTGGCAGCTAGTGATTGTTAGTACTTACGCCTTGACAAGACACTGCTGCTTTTCACTGTTCTGACTTTGAATTTGGAAGATTTAATAAGGTGGGAATATCATGCTTATAAACTAGTTCCCAAGAATTTTGACTTCATTCGTCCAGCTGTGAGTCCAGTGATTTGCATTATAATTTAATGTGTGTTTGTTTATGCTAGAATGCACTTGGTGAATTGTCTTCTTAAGTTTCTTCATTGAGATTTATTTTGGTTGCAGATGGTTTATTTTAAGTTTTCAGTGAGGTTTATTTTGGTTGCATACATTTTAAGCCATAAGTTGTTGTGCTGTTATAACAACTATGCTCATTGAATGGAAAAAAATATAATTTGGTGAGTTGTGTGAAATGGGGATGAATGACTTAATTGCATTTAAAAATTAACATAATTTTAATGAGGTAAGGATTTATTGAACTGAAAAATGACTTTGAAGTCATTTCAACTCTGTAAGATCTTTACCCTTTAAATCGTGGTAGCTTTAATATGTACAGTCTTGGTGTGTGTGTCATGGGTCACTGTTTCTGCCAAGTCTTATGTTGCAGTCTTAAACACCTTAACCTTAAATCTTAGGGTTTGAGCTTCTTACTGCCTTACAACTTTTAAATTATATTAGCAATGAAACATTTAATATGTTGCTAGCATTTTAATATCTGCTCCCAAGCCCTCTGCAGTCCCTAGGAAGACAGACTCTTTCTGTGAGTAGGCTTTGAACTAGCTCACCGCTTGAATGTGTAGTGTCTACGGAAGCCTCTGCATAGCTGTTTACAAGAAATCTAGTTTGACAGTTTTACATCTAAAATAATTCTTAGCTTGTCCTTTAGATTTCTGGAGAAGGTGGTTAATTTAATTAGACCTGTCTAATGCATCTAAATATGCTCAGTGGGGAATCTACAGCCTGGAGGAGCTGGTCATAGACCTCTACCTACTGCCAGATTGGAACAACTGCAGGGAGCCAACAGGAGAGTTGGTTCCTTTGGTCTGTTCAAACTCTTTCAAACAGCTTATGAAAGAAGTGCTGCTACTTTGGGAGTTTACCATAGATAGAGAGCACCATATATGGCAAAATAATTATTTTTGTTTGTTAAAAAGATGGAGACTGTGAGGCTGATTCAGTCTCAGTGGGCAGAAGTACAATGATTTGCTTTGTTTTCTTTTTAATTAAAAATGGAATCTCATAAACATCATTATTAGTGGCTCCAATTCCACCTATTTCTCTCTGTGCTTGGCTTCAAAGCAGTCTTCTGGAAACTAAGGAGATGAGGCATGCAATCAGTGTAAGGGAGGGAAACAAATCTGATTATCAGGGATGGTAGGATCCTGATGAACTTGTGACTGCTGTGCCAATACAGATTTAATAGATGTTTGGTTGAATCCTTAAGGTAGCAAGGACAATGGGTCTGTATGATAAAGCCATCTCTGGATATGCTGGAGGAAGCTAGGTTTGACTTGTGTCCTTTTGGTGACTTTTTAGTGTTTTGGTTTATTTGCTTGTTATTTTGTGGGTTTTGGGTTTTTTTTTTTTTTTAATTTTAAACACTAGATTCCAAAACTTGAGTCATGGATACCCACCCTGGTACATTTCTAGTTTATTGTAATGCTATGAAGAATTGCACTGCTGTATATTTACTAGAGATGTTTTACAAAATGCTTTGCTGAGCTTTGAATTTGTTCATTTTTCTATTTGGCTGTAAACACTCTGCAATATACTCGCTGTGCACAGTCATGAAAACTAGAGAGCACTCAAAGTTATAATTAATATCTTGTCTCTGACTTACCAGTTTGTTTAAATACTGAAGTACCATCTTACACAACTGCTGTATTGCAAGAGGAGAGTGAGAGCTTGACAGAACAGCCACAGCAAGACATTTAGTTGCCCTTGGACCTCCTTTCCCTTTCTCCTCAGACTCCTTTCTTCTGTCACAGCTGCAAACTTGCATTTTTTCCTTTGAGCAGCCATAGTGACAAGGGATTGGGACATATTTGCTTTCAATAAACGCTCTGTTCATTCTGCTATGACCCTGAATAGAAAAAGCTGGTCTCCCGTGATTCTTGTGAGTACAAACACAAGCTTTACAGGTGTGTTTTTTTGGGATGATACAGATTTTGCAAAAATGCACCAGGAGATACACACGATTTCTCTGTGTAGTGTTCTGCAAATGGCCCATTAATGCTACATTACTGCAGCTTATGGAAATATGCTTTTAAATTATATAGAAACCCAAATCTGAATGCAATAATTTGTGTAAATACTCATAATCTATTAGGAAAGAAAATGTGAACTGGTAGTTTTAAATAACATAGCAGATATTTAAAAGAGAGTTTTGCTTCCAAAATCAGGCATGATTTAAAACTGAATACAGTGCTGATTCATAATTAGTTTTCTTGTTCTTTCTTCACCCAAAGCTAGTATTATGAAATTAATGAAATACGTACTTTCAGATCTCCTGAGATGTTGGCTCCTGCAAGAATGCCAGTTGCAGCTGGGAAAAAGATGGCAAACACTGAAAAAAATCCTTCTCCACTTCTGAAATCTGGTCCAAAGTTTTCTGCAAATATTGATGCTGCAAATACAGGTGAAAATGTAAGAAGCTGATGGGATTTGATTCCAAAGTTACTTAATGAGGGGGATGAATAATCTAGTCTTTCACGTCTGTACATTTGGGTTTGAATCTGTCTCATATCATAGCAAAACGAATTTGATTTCCTCAGTCTGATCCCCAGTAGGATGTGCTTGTCTGCATCTCAGAGCTACAGCTCCACATTGAAGTGACAGCAGTGTCACTACAGCACTTGCACTTAGCTCTGTGTAAAGGTTTGTGCTCTGCTGATATATATGTGACTCAAACTGCAGCTAACTTTGCTGTCAGCTTCAGCAGCAGAGAGACAGACTCAAAATTGAAGGTGAAATAAATTCCCTTGGTTTGCAAGCCTATTTAAACTTGGGCTAAAGATCCTGATCTTGTGACTTTCAGTAGAATCCTCAACTCAGCGTGCAGCCGCAAAGAAAGAAGTTACTGTTCTGTGATAGACAAGCAATACTTGCCTTGGTAATTAAAAAAGCCTTTTGCCTTCTTTTCGTTATTGGTAGGAATAACTGTCCCAATAAAGAAGTTTGCAATGGCAATAAGGAGAACAATTAGAAGAATAACTTGAGCCTGTTAACAGAAACAAAGATTTCCCCAATGATTTTAATTTACATTGACAATGGAGATGGCTAAATATAAGTGATTAAGTGATGTTTGTGTTCCCTATGACAGATTACAAATTGTTATAGACCTAGAAAACACCAGGAATTGAAACAGCTGAAGAAAACAAACTGCTATCAGCTAATTATAACAGCAGATAGTTTTTACTAACAGTGTTTATAAAGTAGTTATAATTTAATTTATTTTATATTTTTTTCTTCAAAGGAAAAAAAGAAAATGAAAAAGTTAATGCATAAACATCATGTATGAGACATTTTTATATTGTTATATGAATTGTTTAGTTGCAGTGAATGGTCACTTGAAGTGTTATAATATGTAATTGGTTTTCTGATATCTTTTACAAGCAGTTCTGAGCTTTTGTCACAGCAGAATACGAAAAGAGAAGTCCTATTCTAGAACTGATTTCTACATTCTGAGGTATTTTCATTTGTATTTCCATTTTTAATTTTTTTAATGTAAGGTAAAGGAATAGCAGAAATCATCAGAGATTATGGAATGGACAGAAAATGGAGCTTTCCTGCTAGGCAGAGCTTCGGAGGGTACAGTGACAAAAACATTGTTTTAACTGCTACTTATTCTCTCAAGCTGCTTCAAAAATAAGGACAAAAGGGGCGCTTACTCAAGGCTTTAAATGATGCCATGGCTTATGAAAATCAATGTAAACAAGCGGTCTGTGGAACGTAAACTTCCTTTTTCCCTCTTAAATGAATGTTCAAGGAAGAACATAGAGTAGTATTGCTTTCATTGAATGTAATGATTAAGCTGCTTTGCTTTTAGAAAGGTTAGGCTTCCCACCTGTTGTACAGCATTCCTCATGTGTTAACCCTGCACAGTATTCTAATATATTCTTTGCTTGTATTTAGTTTTAAAGCTTTACCTTTGCTTCCCATTCCATGCCAGCAACAGAGATGCCAAGAAGACATATAACAGTTATGGTACCTATTATTCTGATATCATTGGACTCATCTACCATTATCGAATCACTCTCCTGAAAAGAGTAAGAAATACTGTTAAAACCAGCCTTTCTTAATCAAGCTGGTGGGGTTAGGTAACAAGGTGAAATAAAAGGAAATGAGTTGTCACAGTTTAAGTAGTTTCAGCACTTTGTGAGACAAACTATTCATATTTCATGCTTCAGCTTGCACTTAGCTGGGGTTATTTGGCTATCTAATTGGATGGATATCTATCTCCTTTCCTGACTTTTGAGGCTCTTGTTGAGAAATCATTGGCATATTCATAAGACAGAAATAATGGAGAAGCACTGTGTCACAGTTAGACAGACCAGCTTCTTTCCTGTTAAAGGCATTGCTTAAAGTACAGCAAAAGTATCACAATTTAAACAAATGCTAAAAAAAAAAAAAAGAGCCCCAACTTAACAGTGTACATGAAACATCAGTATTTACCTTAAGAAGCTCTACGACCGTTTCAGCAAATCCAACTACGTACATAGCAACCGCCACAGCGTTTGCAAAAGCAAAGATAAGTCCTATAGATCCGCCAAACTCTGGACCTAGACTTCTTGAGATAAGATAGTATGCGCCACCTGCAGGCAGAAATTATGCTCAGTGTTTGCTTATTTTTCTCATATAATACCACAGGAATCTACTTTAAACCTAACAGACGTAATAAAGATTAATAGAAGACACTGAAAAATAAGGAATGTGCTTTGTACCGGCTCTGCCTTCAGACTATTCTGAATGCCCTTCCACTGCAGTAATCCTTCAGGACATGCTAGTTTGCAAAACTAGATCTTCAAACAATTTTTCATGATACATAATGTACGTAGGTTGCTCTGAAAGTAATGCCTCTTATTTATTTCCATTTATTTATTTCCATGGAGGCTACAACAAATACAAAGAGCGCAATAACACTGTTTGAAATAGCAAATTCTTAGCTACAGAACACTATTTTTGGATGTAGTCATCACCATTAGGTGTGCATTTTCACCAGTGATGAACAAGAGTGCATGCTGTGCTTGTAAAAATTGTATCAGTGCAGGTGACCCACTGTTTCACAGGTGCTAGAATGACATCATTGCTGAAATCTACAACCCACCACTTCACTGTGCTCACTTCCAGTGTTTATAAATGCTCATTATGCACTGACGAATTTCAATGGGTGAAATTTTTTCCATGTGGGCGAATTCACTTCCACACTTTTCCTTTATATGCGCTTCCATGTCAGGCACCATTTTGTCAGACTGCCCCTCTGCTGCCATCTGTTGCACAGCAGGCAACATGTAATGGACAGAAGGTTTATCCTCTACTGTCATACCACCAACATCTGCCTCTGACACTGTGGGCCACTCTACTGTGGGTCACTCCACTGTGAGCCCTCTACAGAGTAGAGGAAACTTCACCTCAGGATAAGTTCTACCTTACTTAGATCCATCCCAATTTAGCATGTATAATCTTATGCTGTGATACATTTTTAAAGCTCCCACAGAGGAATGCAATGAGTCATTAATCCTTTTTTGTGTGTCACCATAAATGGAGCATATTACTTTGCCAGTTAATTATTTCATCCCCTCTTACATAATATTTTTTTTGCCAAGAAATGTTTAAGACTATAAATGTTTTAAATTACTGTTGTTCCACTGAGAGAGATCATCCCAAATATATTTATTTATTCTTATTTTGCTTATAACATACTTAATTCCCACTTTTTTTCTAATTCAAATCTGTAGAATTCTGTATTTTTCCTGCAATGATTTTCACTTACCTCCTCTTACTACTCCATTGGTGCAAATGGCAGACATGGAGATACCTGTTAAAGTTGTTACTACTACGCTCAGAGCAATAACTATGATTCCAAGACCTGAAAGATTCGAAAAAGAAAGTATATTCAAGTGTATTCAAATACCTGTTCTGCTTAAATGATGTAGTAAGAAGTTGCTGTTTTCCACAGAGGTTTAGCATGGACTGGTTATAACTTTAAGGCTCTGAAATGTACTGAAACCTTTTTTGATAAGATATCTGATGTGTGCTTTACTTTTCCAGTGAAAATATTTGCTCATCTTCTAAGGAGGTAGCTGAAACGTAAGGGGTATTATGAAGAATTATACTGGAAGGAATTAAATTGAAGATATCCACCGACCTGCATCAGACTTAAAAATAAGAGGAAGAGTGCAGTGCTTGTTTTGTCCAAGGATGTCCAACCTGAAAGGCTCTGAATAAGAAAGACCTGCTGAAAGGTAAGAATGAAAAAATTGCAAATCCAGATGCCACTCCTCACTCTGCATTTGGCAGGAACTTCTGAAATGTACTTCAGAGACTGAACTGAAATGTGGAATTTATGAAAAGTGACAACTCAAACACGCAGTTAATTGTGATTAGAGCTGTCTAGAATTGTTACCTCCCGGTCCTGTAGATCCATCGTTTGGTTTAGCGTCCCTCTGGTTTGCATCATATGAAAAATAATACATAAAGATCTTTTGGAGCTTGAAAGCATTAGTAACCCTAAAGATTTTACCTCCACGGACAAACCCATTAGTTGCTATTGCAGAAGTTGACAGCCCAGTAATTGAGGTTACCATCGTGGCGAGGAGAATTATGATTACTCCAAGACCTGTCAGTAATAACAAGATAAAATAGTTTACTCATGTTCCATGATTCCTACAAATCATTCTCTATTTAAATGGAATTTTCAGGCCAGAATCAGAGCAATAAACGGAAAGTTGGTTTGTTGACCATTTGGAATTTGCAGAACGCTTCCAAGGAGCCCGTGTGCCAGCAGTAAATTATTCCCTTCAGTCTCCGAGCAATGATGATTTCTGATAGGAGCACCCTAGCCAGAAGCCCCTTTCTGATTTTATATTTTTCTTCAATAGCAGAGTGAAATGAGCAAGCAAGTATTCCTTGGTCTGAATGCTTCTATGTACCTTTAATATACATCCTGGCTCTTCAGGAGAAGAGATTAACCAGATTTCTTGTAAGAATGTTTCTGTCTTTCATCAGTTAGTTAAATATTGAATTGGAGACAGACTGACTGTATAGTTTCAGACAGGACAGGACAAGGAATCTATCAGGTAGAGAAACAAGGCCTGAGTATGATCCTTCAACATTCTTATTTGCTAGGCTGTCAAGTGCTGTGCTAACCTACTCTCTCTTCATCTCCTCCTTTCCCTGCAAAAAGCAATTTTACTGTAACACAAGATCAAGATTCAAAAGTGGAAATGTTGCTTCCCAGATTTCATTCACTTTAAGTAGCCTGTAATGGATAATCTTCAATAATTTAGCATCCTTTTTTAGCTGACATCAGAAAATTATATAATTAAATGGAAACAGATAAACATCTGAAGATCAATATTACTGACAAGTGAACTCAATTTCAGTAAGACTTTGAAGTTTGAGTGTGTTTCCAACTGTGAAACCATGCTAAGTGTCTAGTTTGCTTTAGATTTCTAGAAACATCAGTTGGAAATGACTTCTGAAGGTGTAGAGTTCAGCCTCTCAGCCAGAGCTGAACTATCACCAACACTGGATTAACTCAGTGATAGATTCAGATTGTTGGATCCCCCAAACCTCCATAAGAATCCCCCAGCCTCTTTGGAGTTACATGTTGGAGTGCTGGACGACCCGCCCATGGAGAAAATATGTCCTTATGTCCTATCTGGACCTCCTGAACTACAATTATGGCCTCTGCTTTTGCTATGCTTTCTGGAAATATGGAGAAAAGTTTGGCTCTGTATTTGAAGAGTATTTTCTTCTTTCAAGTCTGATGAAGAAATAAGATACTTTCTCTCAAATTTATAGCTTATATTCCCATTTCTAGCTACGAGACGAGAAAAAAATTGAAATAATTATCATTTGGAGAAAAATTTTGAATCAGTTCTTAGTTTTATCTGAACTTACTGACACTTTTGGAGTAGCTCTCTTTCTGTAAAGTACAGAGGTCTTCAGTGTGGAACTGAAGATAATATATTGCCTATAGCAGTACTTATTGACCAAGGCTCCTGCAAATTGGAACTTGGATCCTTCAACTGATTTCAACTAGAACTACAAATATATTGATTCATCTGCTGTATTTCTACATCCCGGTTTCTAGATCAGGTTACTAACTTCTATTCATACTGTATGGTTATAGACATCCAGCCTATGAGTGAATGTTTTTCACTGCTTAAGTTACAGACTTGTTATCACAATCCTTTGAAAACAATGTAACACAGGAATACAAAAGTTTTATAGCACAACATAGAATATATGAAGTGATTTGAGACTCTAATAAATCACTTTTACCCTACTGATTTCTGAACCATTTTATAACAAGTCATACACTTATTTTGTACGTAGTCCACATTAAAAAAAAAATAATAATCCCAGTGGGCATTTCTTTTGGTCAGCTACCACCACATGTTGCATAGAAGGATCTTGTTGAACTGTATACATTTTGTGTGCAAAAAGTGGCTGAATATGGCGATTAATCAGCTGTTACATCCTAAATGGAACATCAGAGACATTATTCTTAAAGTTGTGCCAAAATCGTTTGTCAAGTGCACATTCATCCTGAGGACTATTTTTTCTGGAATTTCCTATTAGATTTCACAGGCCATATTGTAAATGTATATGTTAATTAGGGGCACATATTTTCCTAATCTGATGAGTAATATCTGCTTGGGAAGACTTAATATTAATTAAAAAAAAAAGATTTTTTACATTTAACAAGAAAAATGCATAAAATAATTCAAGTGACACAACCAAAACATTATTGTAATGTAATCTAGTGTAACACTGTTGTAATATTTGGGGCCACATTTTCAGTTAACATAAACATGGTGCCTCAGTGTCTTTGGTTAACCATTCTATGTTTAGGTACAAATACAGATGGAGAGTACCCAGAGATCATGAAAATACAGGACTGGTTGTGGACCTTGATTCTTATCAGAATCAGCCTGTGCCTTTTGTCCTACTTGATGATAAACCCAGGCCCTGGTTTTTCCTTCTTAGAGCTTTTTCCCCAAGACAGCCTATTAGGATATGGAAATAATGGGTTTTTCTCTCTTTGGCCCGGTAACTATGGGAATATAAATGGTACCTAGATGGTAGGTTGAACATTTAATTTTCATGTTAGTAGTACTACTGTGTGAAATCCCCAGGTTATCACGATGTTGAGCTTCTATCACTGTTCTCTTTAAGTTTTGGCTACAGATTTAAACTCATTGTTTACAAGACATTCTGAAAACGTACTGAGAGATTATCCGAATAGAATTTGATGTTTCATTTTCAGAAGTAGTAGAAGTAACATCCTTAAATAAGACATGCAATTTTAAAAAAGCAGGGCAATAAAGCATAGGAATAGAGGATCTGCTTATCTGTGAATTAAAATGGTAAAATTAAACATGAAAGCAGAAATGCTACTGATGTTGGTGCAAATTAATGCTAAAATCTGATTAAAATTTAGATTGAAACCTAGGTGTATGGTTGCTAAGTAAGTTGTTCTAAAATGAATTACTCTTGCCTATGGCTATTCTCACACCTCAAAACAAAGTAATACTTCTTGATGATCTCAATAAGTTACTAAACTGCCCTTAAAAACTAATTTTGCATGAAACCCCAGAGCAAAGTCTTGGCAATATTAAGATGCAGAGTTTTCATGGCAAGGCATATACTTATGAGTGCCCTGGGCTGCGTGCTCTCATTTGGTATGCATCATAAAGTCAGCAAGCACCCCTTTGTCAGGCACAGTGCTGGAGCCATGCATGGAGCACTGCAAAAGTAGGTAAAGTTCTTCCGCTTAGTTCTGGAACTTTTATTGTGTTGGCTTTTTTTCCTTCTTGTGCCTAGAGGTTTGTGGCTGGATTTTATTTTTTTTTCCCTTAATGAGTATTTCACTTGTATCTGTTTTTTTAAAGTTCAGTCTTCCTCAAACAAAACTTATGTAAAGTTAATGTGTTTTGCTGGAAGTTCCACCTCAGTCGGGCAAAATTCTGGAGATGTTTCTGTTCAGTGTTTCATTTCAGCCAATAACAAATCAACCAGTGATGGTCTTACTCTGTCTGAATTTGAGCACTGAGTTTTGTCCAAGATGTGGTGAGCTGAGACCCAGAGGCCAGACTTTGGACTCCAGCTCATGTCTACTCAATATTTCCATTCTGTGAGAATACAAACTGAAATACTTGCCATTGGCCCTTTGGATTGGTGCTTTTTATGATGTCTAGATGTTAATCAAAAATTAGGGCCCCATTTTAATTTTAAGCATGTAACACAGTGACACTGCTGTCATGGTTCAGTGTGTGTTTCCTCTCAACAGCAGCTATCAAAAGGAAGTTGTGCCACGCAGCAGTTAATGATACCTTCCTGGGCTGCTTCTAGTTGTGGGAGGTTCTTGCTGTGTTTTGAGCTCTTTTGCACTGATTGCTCAACATACTGAATGGAGCCCCTGAGGCCCAGTCTCCCAGGGGTGCGAAGTGGGAATTGGGTTAATTAAAATACAGTAGAGAAGCGAAGGTACAGCAGGCTATGAGGTGTACTTTGTTAACAAAAGAGGTAACAAAGTTTTAATAAGTGTAGTATCTAGTGCTCTGCTGTAGTTAAAAATAAAATCCTGATGAGATGAGACCTCCTTCCAATTCCGTTTTCATCTTTGCAGACAAGTGTGAAGAAGTGTTGTTTTTAATATGCAGATGACAAGGTTTGGGATTCACAGATAAGCAGAGTGTGAACTCTTACAGGTTAATTCTGTACACACGTATTAGAAATTGGCTCGAGTCCCAAAGTTTACATCTGTTACAGGATCTAAATACAAATTTCAACAAAGCTCAGAAATATTCAAATGTGATGATCATATGCATAGTTAACAGATCTATGCCTCTAAGCAGTAATTTGGCTGGTAGTCTGGAAAATTCCAATAGTTTGGAGGATTAACATATTTTACCCTGGGAAGCATTTGAAAACATTATTTATTTCCACATGCAAATACACATCTCAGATTATATATTAATCACAGTCATGTATAGTTTATCCTCTTTATTCTTTTCACTGTTGAAAATGGTATTAAATAAGATACATACCAATTCCTGCTTGACCTACAATCCAGGAAAGTCGAATAAAAAGCATCACGCCCCAGATATTGAGCATGCATCTTACCTAGGTTTTAAATAAATAATATTGCATTAGCATAACACTGAAAGTAGTGTTAATCAGAAACATGATGGTACACAATGAAGGCTCCTGGGGACCACCCCAAACATCCTTCAATTATACCTCCCTCTCTTCTTAAAAGAGCTTGATATTGTAGGACTAATCCTACATTTTATTTTATTTTATGTTTTGAAAATGCAGAAAAGTTTCTCACCAGCACACCCTTCACCCATCCAAACTTGACAAATCCTGTTTTCTTTTCTTCTTCCTTGCTGGCTGCTGTCTCATCTCCAGCAGTGCTTTCTCCATTAGCCACCCTCTCCACTGAGCCAGTGCTCACAGCTATGTTCTGAAGGATCACAGAGAAAACAAACACACTGTTGAGTTAGAAAGATGTAGAATAAGGCAAATCCAAGAAAAATTAAGCTTTACTGTCCCATGAATAGAGTGCAGTACTCTGCTGGCACCAGGCATCAACAGGTGGGCTTGCTAGCTAAGACAAGATGATAGAATCACTTAAGCAAAGTAAATGTATCATTACCTGATAATAAATTGGTTTTATTTTAAACTCTGTTCAACGTATGTTATGTTGTGTTGATATTTTAGTAGATCTCCTAATGTAATGAGGGTCTCATTCCTGTCTTTCGTATTCTGCTGCAACAATTTATGAATGTTAATAAGTGTAGAATAGAAAGGAGGATAATGACTGACTGGTGAAAAGAGATCTACCTGCATGGCAAATAAGTTGTGAGATGAACTCTGGTATTTTCCATTGATGAATATACAAACATAATTCCAGCAGCAAATGTCCTCGAAACAGCAACGCATTCTTGAAAACAATCAGAAATACTGGTGAAATGTGATTAATAATGTGGTAAATGAATAACCCTTCATGTGTTTTATTCAGCTCTTGTTTAACTGTCCTAGATAGGATTAAAAATCAGCACATTTGCCATGTAACTAGAATAAATAGCCCAGAATTTTGGATCTTTCACATTCAGTTACAGACTTAAATCTGTACTTTATCTCATCAGTTCTGTTTAGCACCATGATATGTTTCTTGTGGCTTGAATAGGAATTAGTCACAGTGCTGAGGTTTATACTTTCTGTCACTGCTGTTTTCTTTCTTGTAAAAATGTTTATACAAAGTTCTGACTGGCTTTGCTTAATCAGAATTAGATTAACTGTTGCTAATGTTGTATGGGTCCTGTGCAAGGACCTTCAGGAAGGACTGTGTGCATTGCCACTGCCTGGCAGACTTTCAGGAGTGTGCATCACTTCTGGAGAGGAATCAAGGTGCTTTTAGGATTTGGAGAGGGATGAAGATGTTTCCAGATTAACTAAACAAGTTGAAGAGGGGAACCATCTGTGATTCTGGGAAACAGATGAGGTTTTTAGATCTTGCTTATGTTTTAAGGCTCTTTCTGTGTTTGTACATAGACTTAAAAAAATAAAATATGGTACAGGCACAAAGACCAGTAGTATGGGATATTTATGCTGATGTTTGGATTCCTCATGGATGGGTCTCCAGTCACCACAATGGAAAATTTTAGAATGCCTTTGACACAATAAATTTAGGCTAGTGCTCACAGATGAGAAATAAGTGACTGGATAATGCATTTTGACATATACTCAAGTTGGTGAATATGGCCTTTTTGACTCTAAGCGAAATGGGAATGCAAAATCTATTGAAAACCTGTGACTGAGCTCCTGAAATATTTATTTTTGACAATTCTCACCCAAAAATAACAATGCTGTGTTTGCTCTAAATGCAGTACATAATTAAAATGAATTATGGAGAATTATCAGAATAACGTTTGTTTGTTTTTTGGCTTGTTTACATACATGCTGGTTAGAATTTCAAAGGCAAAAAAAAAAAAAAAAAAGAAGTGTTCAGTGTTTGCACTTGAAACAAGTTGTTTCATTCACACTTTGAATTAATTTGTGCTCTCACATGCCATTATCATAAATTATGGCCTTAAACCTTCCATAAATGCATTTTAAATTGGTGTGCTTTAGTCAATGATTGGTTGTTTACTAAGTAGGTGTACTCATGCCCCTCATGCATGAAGTATGTGGAATAAAGTGGCAGGATAATTTGAAAATCTACCAAAATCAGAAGTAAACTTTATTGTTGTTGTTGGATTTTTTGTGTGGGTTTTTTTTTTCGTTTGATTGATTGATTGATTTTTAAATAAAAAAGACAGAAAAAATCAAACACAACATTTTCCTTTCCATGTTTCAGAACAGGTTAGCCTTCATCTCTCCTGAGGATAAAGATGATGAGCTCATGAAGTCATCATAACAAGTGTGGAGAATAACCAAGATGAAGAAAGGTTAGATCATTTTTTATGTAGGACATATATTAAGCCCAAGTAATTATCACCATCCATCAGCTGTGAAATAGCACTTGGACTATTTTTTAGGTATTTAATTGGTGTTTTGTGGCTTAATATGTGCAAAAGCTGACATATCTTGCTAAAAAAGGATGCACATTTGATTCCAGCGGTGTGGGAACTAGATATCTGAAGTTCCTTTCAGCCTGCCTTAGATTCTGACATTGAAAACTTACATATTAAAATGTATTAAATATTAATATTTATCTTCTGAAGTTAAGCCAGCATCAAAGCACAATGGGAATGGTTATGTGATGTTTAGAAATCTGAAGTCAAATACATGCAATTTCTTATCAAAATTTGGCATTGGTTTTTGACAAGACAGCTGTCTTCAACAATTTCAGTTTCAAAAAAGCTGGGGAGAGAAGGAATTGCCTTGGGGTATGTTGTGGTAAATCCAGACTTCGGTGTAAAGAAAAAAGGATTAAAGCATCATCTCTGGATGTGCATCCTGGGATATTAGTCTAAGCCCCACCACACACACTGTGGCATTTCATCCTCTCCTTCGGGATTGCTATAGAGCCTGCTACAGCTTCAGCTGCACATTCTGCTCTCGCCTGTTAGTACGAGCTCAGTTTTTTCATATTATTGTAGTGCTCATCTCTACTAAGCTACTCTTTGGTGATCTCAGGTTTATTTATTGTATTGATATATTGATATATTGTAATATCCCTGTACTTTTTAACCTGGCAGCTGCTGAATTTCTTCTATCTTAGGAACTATCCTGTTCAGTGCTATCTTGAAAACACCACAAAGGTCTGTCAGTCCAAGGTCACAAAATGAGTCTGTGGGACAGTCAGGAATGGACTTCAGCCATGCTAATGGTGGGTTGTTTGTTCCAGTGATTCTCAAACCAAGGCCTCACTGCACATATGGGCACAGCAGATTGCCAGCATAACAAAAATCTCATTACCTCTGACATTCACCTTTGTATTGTGAGAAGCATAAGATTATTCTTCTGTAAGCTGGATAATAGGTAATAGAAAAAGTATGGGGACAAGTGAGCTAGACGATGCTCTTTTCTCATCCCTTGCAGTCCCAACCCATGAAGCAATTTTCCATTCATTTTATTCTAGAATGGAAGATGCCTTCTTTTTAACCTTCTCTCAGTGAAAGTTGTAACAAAGCCCAAGCAATTTGTCTGTTCATTTAAAACAAACAAACCAATCTGCTAGCCCAAATGAGATGCCCAATAGCAAAAAACCTGAATTTTCTGGTAGTGTTCAAAACTGAAAATCCCTTAATATGCTCATGTTCAGTACAAGTTCGTTTAGCACTGTGTTCAGAGCCAAAATACACTATTTTTCCCTCTACCTGCCTACCACTGATGTAAATTATTTCTGTAACAGGAAGTTTCTTTTGAGCATGGAAATGTGTTTAGTTTCTTCAGTAGCACTTACTCATCTGCACATCTGGCAGAGCAGAATTCATATTCACCCCTATTCACATCCACTTTGCATTCATTTATGGAAATATAAGTGATTACTCAGGTAACTTGTTTCTCCTTTCTATGTAAACCATTTTATGCAGGTTTGTGGAGACCTTAAAAAAGTGGGACTGTAGACATTTAGCTGTCTTAAACGGATACTATAGAATAAGGTCCTAATTTTCCTAGTATTTTTCTGCTTCATTTCATTTATTTTTATTGATCCTATTTAGGACAGGTGAATCTCCAAAGAAATAGAGTTTGAGTAAGATCTGGACCAAAAAATAGATGCTTATCAGAATTATTCAGACCTCAGAAGTATGTAAAAGACAGTGGACAGGTAATGAGAGTGTTTTTTTTCTATGGAGATCTGTCATTTCAGTATTGCCTGACACAGAAAAAGAGTGAGTGGTGGGTTGTTTGTTAGTTGTTTGCTTGTTTTTTTTGTCTGCCCATTGACATTTTCAGTGTGTTTGAATATAGTGGTGATCTCTTTCCAGCCCTGTCCTGACAAGCGCACAAAAGAAACTCAAGAAAGGTTTGATTTTAGTTCTGTAAGTGGGAGTATCCTAGGGTCTCTCCTCTGCTTTTTTATGAAGAATTTATTATTATAGCTCAAGGGGAAAGAATCTGATTTCATCAAAGTCAGTTGAGTATTGCAGTTATTCCAGTAATGCTTAGCAGTAGATTTTTGAATAGTTTAATTGTTTCAAAGTGCTTAATCTAGTTGTTCCTTAATAATTTTCCATGCTATTTTGCATGGAGATGATTCCTGGAGTTTGGAGTTTGAGCCTTAAAAGCTCTATAGATAGGTGAATTTTGCTGAGGCAGGATCACACATGGTACTGAAATTCTGAAATCTGATATCTAATGTTGCTAGCTTATCAAATTATTTGCAGTGGAAATTTTGAATCTGCAAACCCCAAAGATTATATGTGACCACTGTATTTTCTTCTGGTAAGAAGGTATAGAGGGTGACAAACCTAAAAGCTGACGAGCTTCATGATAGGTTAGAAGCAATTCAGCCAGATTATTCTTCGATGAATACTTTATATGTGGTCATTCCAGAGACTCTTCAGATTTTTCCCAGAATCATTGGTACAATGACCAAGGACAAAATTCATTCACTGAATTGGTACCTGAAAATTGTTGTCTACTTTTCTCTTTCTCCATGTGTGTTCTTGATTCCTTCTTGCTATCTGAATGGTTACTGCAATAAACAGGAAGTGCTTTGATTTCTGACTGGTTGAAATTGCTTTTATTGCTCATAATATATTTTATAATAACTGTAGATATATATTTTAGTGAATACAAAATTCAGGAGTTTGTGAAACTTTGTTACGCATTGATGTTAAATTTAAATTTGGAATAAATGTGAATTGTGTAATTTGTTTAAATTACGGGTTGATATTCATCGTCTGCCATCTTAAGTGAAACAGAAGAAATATGGTAGTTTTACATTTTTAGGGAAGATTAAGCTATGATTTCCTGCTAATCGAGTTCATTGCTATCAGCATTTAATAAAAATATTTGCTTTAAGCAGGTCATAGGGCAGAAAACATACTGCAGCTACCATAGGAAATATGGTGATTAGTTGTACTTTTGTCTTGGGCAAGATCCACGAATTTAAGGACCTTTTCATATTAATAAACAGAATTAACAGCCTGGAAATGGAACAGAGAAAAATCGAGTGTTTCCTTTTCACTTACCTTTGCCAGTTGTTCATGAATTTCTAATAAGCTTGGTCTGTTGAGCTTATTCCCACTGACGCTGCCAGTGTTTCGATAATAATCAATTTTAGGAACTGGATCCATGGTGTTATGGCCAAAAGTTTGTAGATAGTACATTTTATGGTGAGTATCACAGGGATGTAAACTGGCTTCTGTTTTCTCCCCATTTTGAAGAAAATTGTCATACAATTCTCTTTTTCCCGGTCTGTAACTGATTCTCAGCCTGTTGTGTGCTTCCTCAGTAAAAGATGTTTCTTCATAATGTGGTGGGTCAGAGCCCACGTCCTCTTGGGATGCTTCGTTGCTGTCATGGCTTTCATTAATTATGTTAACTTGAAACCGATTTGCATTTGGATCCAAGAATACATTTGGAGAATTATTCATTGACATCTTCAGGACTGGGACAGACTTAGGTCACTGAGTCTTCTGATCTGTGGCTGCAGGTACCACTCTTCTAGCTGCAATAAAGGGCTAGTGCTGTTACAGATGAAGTCGTTGTTCTTAAAATAATAAGCTTCCTAAGCAGTCTTCCTAAATTTGTCCACTGTGGTTCTGCCATTACAAACATTTATGAGTAAAACATTTCTGTTAACTTGCACAGTAAGGTAAATTTTCCAAAAAAAATTTCCCTCTTCTATGAGACTGTCATCCTGTGTCAAATAATCAGTAGTCCCATCAAAGACGAAATTTGTGGGGATTTTTCTATCTTAATAAAATGGGCTATTGATCAGATTGTAAGTGCTTGAAATTGTATTTCAGATACAGTACTTTTCTTAATAAGGCAAATTTTGAACTGAAGCCTGTGGAAGTGTAGGCAGTACGAGAATTACATGAAGTCCATCTACTGTTTATGTTCCACTTACATATGGCATCATAATTCTCCCACAGTCTATAACAAGTACATTGGCCTAAAAATCTTGAATCAAACGCGCTTTTTTAAATTAGTTACAAAAGTTAGACTTCAAGTTTCAACCATTCCAGAATGGCAACAGTTTATAAGCAGAGAATTAATACACTGCAATTCATTTATTTTCTATGTAAATAAAGTTAATGACATATGAAAGAATAGATCAACAGCTGAGCCATATGCAAAAATAGCACTAGCTTTGCCAAACTAAATAACTGGAGTATAAATCTGTGCTGAAATATTAATTATTGAGAAATATTAACAGTAGGTTTAGCATTGAAAGGTTCATAGAATTTTATTGTTTTACACTTGTACACTCAAGACACCCTTTAAGAGAGTTTGATAGAAAGTGTAGCAAGTCATAGAATCCCACAGATTAGGAGTTTAAAAGTTTTATTTAGTCCAGTATCCTGCTCAAAGCAGATTGAACACTGAATGTAAATCAGGCCTCTTAGTGCTGTCATCAGTCAAGTCTCCCAATCCTGTCCTGCAAGGATAAATTCCAGAACTGAGGGCAGCTATTCTAATACTCATTTGTCCTGTCGTGATTTTTTCATGTGCACCCAGTTAGAACCTTCTGTGCATTACTTCACGACCGTCACCTCTCACTCTCCTGCTGTGTACTTCAGGAAGAGCCTTGGTGTGCCTTGTCGGTAACCTCTCCATAGGTACTGGGGCTGCGCAATACATTAATACATTTTCTTCTGGCTAAACAAGCCCAGTTTCTTTATGTTCCTGCCCCTGACTCTGCTAGAAGCTCCCCATGTGATGCGTGCAGGTTTTCTATGTTCTCTCTTACATGGGGAATTGCAGGGGACAGGTAAACAAACCTAGAAGCTGGCTTTCAGGTGCAGATTGATGAGTGTGTAAAAGAGGGGAATGATCACTGCGCTTGGTCTGCCAGCTATGGTCCTGTTAAAACAGCCCAGGACACTGCTTTCATTGCTCTCAGGGCATGTTGCTGACTGTGCAGGCTCATCAGTCACTGCCTGCGGTGCTGCTACCTGCCAGTGAGGTCCCATCCCCTACAATGCAGGGGATTGCTGTCCCAGGTGCAGGACTTGCATTTGTCCTTGGTGAATGTCACGAGATTCCTGTTGACTCGTTTGCCTAGCCTGTCTAGGTCCCTCTGAATGGCAGTCTGTAACACGTAATACCTGCACTATCTGCTTCCCACCTCCACTTTTCCATTCAGATCCCTCAAAAACAAGCAAATAAATAAACAAAAACCCCAAGAACAAAAGGGGTGCTAATATTTAAGGCCTTTAATTGGTGAAGTATCACTGCAGCATGTGGGATGGCCTACATGGCCCTGGAGTGGCATGCATCACCTGTTGTTTTCGAGAAACTCAGATTATATAGAAAGCAATGGCAATGTATATGTTTTCAAATGTTTTTCAAAGGAGACACAAGAGTGTGATTGTATTGACCTGTATAATTCAATAGGAGTCTGGGTCTAACAGTTTCGGCCTGTTCTGACTAAAACTAACTAAAAGCCTATTTAGATATTGAAAATTTGCAAGTTTGCATAATAGCAGAAAGCTCTAAAAATATATCTATAAAAATAATATGTGAACTGAAAATCTGGGTAAACAAGCCCATTAGAATAATTCGTTTAGAATTTCGTACTTTCAGCAAGAGGTTGGACTAGGAACCCTCAAGATATTGCTTCCAATTTAAAATTTTCTATGATTTTGTGAAATGCATTTGGCTCTGGCATTGCAAGATAAAACACTGTGTTGATATTTAGACCTTGGCAATGTGTATTTTTGTCTAAAATCGTGTATCAAAATGATAATTTGAAGAACAGATAATCAGATGTCCTCCAACTTCAGTGTGAGGTACAGCTAAGGCGTATTTCCTCCCTTCTTCCATCAGCTATAAATGACAATCTGCTGTAACCTCCCTGCAATGCAAGCACTTTACAACCCTCTCATATTTCTGTTACTTTTCCTGCTTAACATTTTGTAAGTTTCACAGCAACGCGTTACATTTATTGAATTCCTTTCACTTCTGCTTTTGGATGATCCGCATTGTTATTATTACCATAATTACACATTTCTCATCACAGTATTCCTTCAACCTTTTAAAATTGTAAGAATGTGTTTCATCTTCAGGCATGAAAGAGTGAAAACAAATCTTTTGTCACTAAGGTCAGTGAAATTAAGTTTGTTTCTGTCCCCGTGACTGAGTGAAATCACAATTATTTGATGGCAATGAGACTTTTGCTACCAAATAAAATAACTGTAATATCACTGTCTTATTTCCATAATGTTACTGTTTGGCTAGGAAAATAAAACTTCTTACCTTTCTGCTGTTCTTGAAAATAATACTTGATGTTTTCCACAGTGTATTTCCAGAAGTCTCTCAACTGTTACTTGCCATTAATTTTACATTTGATATTCTATCATTATTCAAAAATTATCAGATTTACCTTATTCAGGATAATTTAACTTGCCACTCAACCTTGTGTTTTTTGGGAAGGACAAGCTGCTTCTTTTATTCATGCATATAGCATGTCCCTCACTTTTAAGTGTTTCAGACTGTGCCTTATTGGTCAGGTTTTTCTTCTGCTTAATATATTGAATAAACTGCCCAATCCCTTACTTTCAAAACATTTCTAGATGGTGATTTAGAGAAGCATTCTAGCTTGTTAACTATTAACCAGCAAATGTACCTATCCATTACAATTACTGGCTTTATGGTATTGCAAAATTTCCAAGGGGGCCCAAAAATACTTCTGTTATCTCCATTTCCCTCCCCGCCATGTCCGATGCTGTGCACAGATCATAATCTTATTTTTCAGCCGTGCATATGTTGTAGTGCAGATAGCAAGAATTTATAAAATGCTCAGAGTGCATTTATGCACAAGAGGCTCCGTGAAGTCACTGGGATCCCTCCTGTGCTCTTTAAGAGACGCTGGTGGGTTTCCTTGTCCCACATGTGGTTTTGAGCTAATTACTCCTAGCCCTGCTGAAAGTTTTACTCTGTATACTTAAGGAAAGCCTTTGAAAAATTAGGTTTTGTGCATTTCTTCTGGGAAGGTTGGCACTGATGTTTTTCAGGGATACAGGGAAGACAAGAAAGAAATGGCAAAGCTTTTTAATCATAAGGAAATTTGGTAATTGCTTTCAGCAACAGATTAGGGTCAAAAACAGAAGAAGTCAGTAAGTAGTGGGGTTCTTCAGGTATGTTTGCTGTACTTGCCATGTAGTTTAGAGATAACTGAACTATATTTATCCCAGATAACTTAAGTATCTTCAGCATGCTAACCTGACAGCACAGAGCTCAGCTTTGCTGATTAGGTGTATGTAAAAAGAATGACAGTGTCAGGTCACTGCAGTGGATGATCCTATCTAGCAGAACAGATCATGTGAAACGGCATATCAGTATCTGCCTTTGGTTTTATGGTTAAATTAACTAGGATAAATGCAATATACTGAATCTCTGAGAGTCTGGCACTTTTTTCTTTGTCAGACTCTGAAGCAGTTTTAAAGCTCTTGCATTCATACAATTATTTATAATTTAGATAAGCCAGTGCTGATAGGTGTTGCCTGTACCTATTGTTCTTCAGACAGGAGATTGTGTCCTTCCCTGTGCAATCTGGTATTTCATGTTCCAAATGGCATTTGAGGTTCACTGTTTCACTGGCTGCCTCTGCCTAATATACACAGCAAAAGGAACCACATGTATTTTGCATGTGTATTATGTGCAAAAGAAACCAATCTCTGTAACTGGTTTCTGTCTTTACTGCTTGTTGCAAAGAGAGCTGTTTAGCAAAGGTGGCAGTGCTTAAAATTTTGTTGACAACTTTCTTAAAAGTGAAATTGTATTTCTGTCAAGTACTATCATACTTGCTAAACAGCTGTGTATTTGAGGGTGACCTTGTGGTTTTAGTCTCCACTTTCACTGTCAGTTCTTCTGTCTTGATAAGATTTCCTGTGACCAGTTTTCCCATTTGACACTCAAGATTATACGCTGTGCACAGATGTAGGAGCACAATGAAAAGAAAAAGCTGAGGAGAGGAGCCAGAGGGTACAAAGATTTGCACGTAGCTCTTGGACCCTGGGCGCAAGTGAGTATGTGCAGTGTGAGTGTCTCTGTTTGCCTTGACAAGTTGGTCTAATTACTACTGGGAGCTATTAACCAGACAGAACAGATTGCAACTAATAGTACAACAGGTGAAGTTCCAGATCTTCTGTACCCAAGGAGAGTAAAAATTGACACGCTTTGACCAGTTCAGTAGGATTATCAGGTTAGTTGCATAATGTTTACTTGGTCTCTTTCACCTTAAGTTTTTAACTCCCTGACACTGGGAGAGTAGAACTGTGGTGTTCTTAATTCCTACTGGACTTTTGAGTAGGTAATGTACTTTGAAATACTGCATGTGTAGAATACAAAATATTTTTAATGATGTTTGTTTCCTTTCCACTAGTTCCATTTGTCTTTCCACTGCTGTAGAATAGAAGGAAGACCTGTTCCATCAAGACATACTGTCAGGTGAGTGGGAGGAAATAGAAGTATGAATTGTTTGCAGGAGACCACTTAAATGTTTCACTCAGGAGTTGCAAAGTACAGGTTCCTTACAAACAGTAATTAGTACAGCACATTCTCTTCTTGAGAGACAAGAATTGAGTTAGCAGTTGATTCTCCTCTCATCTCAGCAATATAACACATACAAATGGGCTACTTCTGAGTTTGCAATAAACATTTATTTAACAAAATGAATGCCACAGATACCAACACATCTCCAAAATGTACGTATGCATATGTAACAAATGTACCAACAGTTGGTTTCCAAAATGAAATCAACATCAAATTTAAGGCAGGATATCATGTGACTTTTCATGCAAGAGCATATTCAAAGGTCCCTTTATCCAACCCCTCGACTTCATCTTCCCATGTTGAAGAAGGCATACTACTGTAGGGGTCTAGCAAGATTTTGAAGCATCTGATAATTAGAAGTCCTAAGAAAACACACAAAATCCCCACAAAGGCAAAACCAGTTTTTTGCTCCAAAGTCAGAGGGAAGGCAGACATTTCACTGACGCTCATGCTGGCTGAAGTGTTGCCGCAGTAATTACTGCTCATCATTGGACATCACATCTTGGTGACTCTGTGGGATTTTCACCTCTATTGCTTCTTTGCCTGCATAGAAAAGTGAAATCAGTTACTAAATGGGGTGTGTATGTCTGAGCTCTGTGGCATATGAACAGTTTGAAATCAAAAACAGCTTGGATTTTTGTAGTGTCCTGTTGTTTTTGTTTTTTTTTTTTCACATTTAAGTTAATGTGATAAAATTGAAACTTTCAGCTCCTACGTACCATCCACTTACTAACAGCAGACTCACAATTTTCTGGCGTTCTATCTCCTCAACACAATGATCTCACACATGGCTGTTGCAAATAGCATTTTGTCAGACTGGGCATAAGCCTGCAGATTTTAATTAGACAATACTCACAAGGTATCTGCCTGGATAAACTAATACATTTTCTGGAATGGCTTTACCTCAGTCCTTAATCTAGTCCTTAAACTCATATTGATCTCAAAGGGAATTTCAGCCAAATAGTATGAATTTTGGTCATGTAATTTAGCTTAGAAATCTAAATAAATAGGTATGACTTGCAAAATAAAATGGTGTGTGCAGTTCTAGTCTTGGGCTCCATTTTGAGCTATGCAGGAATTGGAAGTGAATATATTGGTAGAACTGCTCCTTTACCTTCCTCTACACACGTCCATGCAGTGGGTACCACTCTTATGTGATCCAAGCGTGCCTAGGGGCATACACTGTTGAAACAGTTGAGCTTAGAATGTGCTGAGCTCAGGGGATTGACCCACCCTGCCATCACCACCAGGAGACTTTTGTGTATTTCCAGACATGAAATACTTTTGTTTTTATAGCTTTAAGGTGATCTGATGTATAGATTTAAGTTGGGGGGCGGGAGGGGAGGCAGAGGAAGCTGTTTTGCTTTATTTTGGGTGTTCTGTCAGATACTGAAATCCCCTCTCTCTTAAGTCTCAATAGACAGCAGGAAGATTGGAAGGCCTGGGACATCATACCTACCAAAGGACAAAGGCATTTTTATTCTAAGGCTAGAGCTTGGGGATTTTTGGCTCTTGTTAACACCTATTTAACTAACATGCCTCAGGGGAAAACTCTTTTTGTTAACAATTCAACCACCTCCTTCCCCAGGGATTTCCAGGCATCCATTTATTTCTTGGCAGAGTAATTAGGCCACTGGAAGCTCTGTGCTGCCATGACTACACTGATACTGGTACCTGCCCTAGCCAGTTCAAAGAGAGCTCCAGTATCTCTACTCGATGCTGCACTATAGCCATATCTTGACTAAGTCTAGAATTAATAGCAACAGAAGTAAAAACAAGATTTAGTATTCCTGAGAATATCAAAACAGGCAAAACTTTTACGTTGTGTATGTCTCCTTTCTTACTTCAGAAATTGGTGGGATTTTTGTACATGTCATCTTAAAGAATGCAAACTTTAAAACAAAGATGAAAAGGATGGGACACAACTCTTTGTTCTTCTCTTTAGGCATTGATCCTCAACATAGGTATTAAATAGTGTGATTTTCTTTTACTTTCTGTATACATTTTCTAGAGCATACAAACCGTCTATTCTATAGAGCTGTATGTGATCCTTCTTTTGAATGACATTCTGCCCTTTGGGTCAACACTGTTTTAATTCCTGTTAAGTTGAGGAAAAGATCTGGATATAGCCTACAAGAGAAGTAATGTCAACAGTAATCAATATTTACTTTCTGGAAATATAATAGCACATGCTGCACAGGTTTTCATTGTTTATCCTTCCAGTTTTTCTGTAAGTCTGACCTTGTGCAGAAAAAATATCACAAATTGGTGTCAGAAGTCAGTTGATTTGAACAAGAGCCAGTCAAGAAAAGTTATCCTTCCAGAATTCCTAAGACACTGGATTATAAAAACTAAATGAAAGGCTTGTATGGGAAAATGAAATGTAGATGCTGAGGAAGACAGAGCTCACACCTCCCCCCAGATCAAATAACCCAAACAAAACAACACCACAACTAAAAACAAATGAAAAAACAGCAGAGAATTGCTATCTTGAAAGGTACATAGAAAAAATCTTAGGGATGGCCATGGGGAGCCCTACATTGGAGCTGGATCCTGGGAAATGTCACACTCATTTTGCAGGTTATGCACTTAAATTAGCTGGATTTGTTTGTTTATCAGACACTGTGGGACAAATCTCTGCAAGGTTTGACTGACATGGAGTGGTTGTCTTAGTTTTACTTGGCAAGAGTTTGTCTGAAATGGCTGCATGAGAAAACAGTGGGTATTTTCTTCCTGGGGAAATGAGATCTGGGAAACTCCAGTACACGGCTTTGTGTGCTTCTTTCCCCTGTCCTGAATTTCATAACTTGTAATTGAAGCTTTAAAGTTCACAGAACATTCTGCTCTAATTACATATCCCCAAAACTGTGGTACCAAATTGACCTTGAGTGCACTTCCATTGTTTTCACACTTCAGTGCTGCATACAGGTTAGATGTCCTCTCCCAGTTAGTCAGATATCCTTTCAGTTGCTGCAGAGTGTGTGTCAAATCATGAGTCAGAAGACTGTGAATGCTAACTAACATGGCCTGCATCCAAAAATTCTTGAAGATAACCTCTAGGGCAATGTGATGGGGACAGGCATTAAATCAGTTAGAATCTGCAGAGTCATTTTGTAGGGGCTGGCTTCAGACTGATGTCTCCTGACTTTTTTATAGGTGAAGACCACTCGTCCTTTGATTTACTGCCCATATAAAAACACTGGCATAAAGAAAGGCTCCTTAACATCTTGCTGTGAGTAGAAAGGCCATTGGAGGAGGCCCTTGTGAGGCTGGAACAGCGAGTCTAAGAGAAAATAGCAATGAGGAAAATAGCTTGGCACAGAGACCATTAAGGTAAGGGGAATGGAGGTGTGAGCTGGGGATGCTGGCTGTACATGTGTGGGATGAACAGCAATACCATGGCATTATGCACGGAGAGTCAGCTGGAAGAAAACTGTTGAAACTCTTACTAGTCTAGTGGATCTCCAGACCAACTCTGCCAGTGTTTGGTGTTGATTGAGATTCCCAGTCCCAGCTCTTTGGTCACCTTTTTCAGATCCTCATGTTTTGAGAGACACTGAGAAGATTAAATAATTCTGGACTATCCTGAGAAAGGCAGGAATTTCCCTTATGTTTTGAGTTTCATCCTTTCTCCCACAGAACCCCCTTGGGGTTCTGGTTTGGTTGGTGATTTTTTGGTTTTGTTTTGTTTTGTAGTGGCTCAGTAGTGTAAAGGAGTACCTTTGACAGCTGCTCAAACTGGAAGCATTCATCCCATTGGCAGGATTAAGCCTCAGGTCCTGAAAACTCAGTTCATAAACCAGAGTGTGTTACAGAATTCACTAAATCAGTTGCCATCTGTTCTCCCTTTAGATGTGCTGCAGGTCCAGCTGCTGACGCTGGTCATTCTAAAGGCACTTCAAATAGTTTCAGTCCAAGGTCTACGTTTCTGAGCGACAGCAAATGTAACTTGAAAAGGTGTTTGTGTGCTTAGGGACAGAAACTGGCATTTTTGTGCTCAACTACTTGGTCAAAGAAACCGAATTTCAGGAATTGGGCATAGGAGGTGGTAGGGTAAGAAGATTATCAACGAAGAAGACCAAATGAAATAGAGATCAGCATGAATTTGGAATTTTCCAAGGGATCCAAACTGAGTTAACAATGCATGGCCAGAAATGCTGCAGAAGCAGCTCTGAGCACACAGCCAACCTGCCATGTTCATGCACATGCTGCATGCCTGTGTTCTGTACATTGCTGGGGAGAAAACTGCTTGCTCAGGGTGAGGTTTCTGAGGCAGCAGACAGGTGGGTGTAAGGTGGGAAGGCCAGGGCACCGATGCCCAGCAAATGGAGCACATTTAACTTTTGTGTGAGTGTATCAAAGCACCCCCCGACATGCAGTGTTTTTGCAGCATGTAATTCAGGGTAGAAACGACACTTTTCCACATAAACTGCATTCTCCTGCAGAGAAGCAGCAGCTGGGCAGTGACATTTGCAGCTTCCAGGCAAGCAATGAATTGCAGAAATGAGATTTTATCCTTAGTAGATAGACAAGCCTGGAGTCTCCAAGGAACAAGAGACCCTGCGCTATGCATTGTGCTGTGAATTCACGGATATGCGGCCAAGGTCCAGATAACAGAGGCAAGAAAATAAAACGTTCACCGGTGCCACCTTTAACTTGCGAACGTGGAAAACCGCTACCTGTTTCCCTGGGGCATGCAGGCTACAAGAACCGCAGGACACCGAGCACCCGCCGCTCCATGCGCAGCCTGCGCAGCCCCTACTTTCTCCGGCTCCGCGTTCCCCCCGGGGCGCCGCCCGCAGCCCGGGGCTCTCGGCCGCCGGCACGGCCCCCGCCGGCACAGCCCCGCCGCCCTGCCCCGCCCGGCCCCGCCGAACCGCCCGCGCTACCGACCCGTCTCCTCCGCGTTGCCCATGGTGGCGGACGGCGGAGCTCCGGGCCCGGCCGGCCGAAGCCCAGGTGGGAGCCCCGACGGCTGGCACTGCTCCGGCCGCTGGGGCTGCGCGGAGTCCCGGGCGGCGGGGGCGGCTCGGCCGCGTTCCCCCTCGCCGCCCGGCGCCGCGACCCCGCCGGGTGCCGCTCGAGCCGCCCTCGTTAAAAAATTAAAGGCGGCCGCCGCCGCCTCCTCCTCGCCGCCCGCCCCCTTCCATCGCCGTTCGGCCCGTTGGCGCTCCCCTCCGACCCCCCTCGCGCGGATTAAACCGGGGAGCGTGGAAACTTCCTGCAAAGCACTACGTGCGGCGCATCGGTAAGCGGCGCCCTGCGGGGGCGGCCCTCCCCGCGCTCAGGCTGCGGTGCCGCAGCAGCCGGGAGCCCTGCGACCTGTGGAGCCCGCGCGGGCGGCGAGGAGCGCCGCCGAGTCGCGGTGCGCGGGGGCCGAACGCCTCTTCCATCCGCCGCCGCCGCGTCCTGCGGCGAGGGCTCGGTCCCTCCCTGCAGCTTCGGCGGTAATAACGATTAAAGTGCGGAACATGTGGCGACATACGGCTGGGGCCGCAGCCTGGCTCTCGCTTTATAGCCTTTCATTAGCCGCGTTTAGCTGATGCTGATTGTGTATTAAAGAGGCTTCGGTTTGCGGCGGCAGCAGGTGTTTAAGGTGGATAAGGAAAGAGGATTTATTTTCCCAAAGCTGGATCTGTGTATTGCACTAATAAACAGCAAATCTGTTTTTAAATGATAGTGATGCACTATTTGGATGCCCTGGATGGGTGCACGTGGGCCGGTGAGACGGCACTGTATTTAGTGCCAGGCACGAAGAGATTTGTTGAAGGCTGCTGTAGAACCGTTGGAAGAATTTGTTCTGCAGAAAATAATTTGAAAACCCCACGTGTTTCTTACTGCATGCAACAACACTACGAGAGGTTAAGTCTCTTTTATCCTAATACACACTGGGAAAAAAGTTTTGCGTTACCAGGCATTTTAATAGCTGATTGCACTGTTGTGCCTGCAGTTCAGCACTGGCCAGTCTCAAAGCATGCTGTGTCCCTCTGGTAGAACCAATGGTTAAACGGATGGTTAGCCGTGCGCTCACTAATGATTGCTAGTTTGATCATCTAATGTTGCAGTGTCAGTAATTTGGTAAACAATGTCTGTTGCTGAAATTACAAGCCAAGCTAATTTTTGAAGTGCCTCTCATATTTAAAGACCCATGAAGAGCTTATAAATAGATCGTTTCAAATGGTATGACTGTGCTTTCAGAATATGTATATAAGGAGCCTCTTCTGTTCCTAATGAGCTCTAGATTTCTTTTTTAGCCTTGTCCCTGATTAACTTGGGGCCCATGAAGATCTCTTGCTAAAGAGGAATGGCCATGGTTTGGGATGTGGGGATTGGCAAAGACACAAGGCCCCCGTCCACCCTATCCCCACCTAACACAACTAGTTTGGGAGAGTGGCAGGTATCCATTTTTTCCTGATAATCATTGAGCATTGCTGTATTTGGAGAACCTTCCTGTAAGTAGGCCTTTTCTCCTGGAAAAGATTGAGTTGTAGTATCTTCCTGCCCTTAAATGTATTATATTTTTCTGTCATTATTCTTATAGAGGTGAATTTAAGAGATTTTGTGTTTGGTTTTTTGTTTTTGTTTTTTAGACTGTGAAGTCACTGTTTCTCTTGTATGGCAGAAGTTGTTGAAATCGCGTGATCATTTTTGGGAATCTGATACTCACTGTTCAATTTAAAAGAGCTTTCAGTTGTGCTGAAGATCCACTTTTCGTGGATATGAAGGTGGAACAGAAGCTGGCAGCCACAGACAGAGAATGAGTCTCCTTCTGCTGCCAGTTGTCATCAGACAGATAACATTTTTTTTGTTGCTGTTGGTCATTTGTTTTTTTGTTCGTGCTGATACATTTTAAAACAGAAGAAGCAATGGAATAACTTAATTTATTCCTGTATTTCATCCTTTCTTTCACTTAAGGATCACTAATTTTTTCTCATTAGGATCCAGACAGAAGGCAAATGAGATAGCAGTGTATGTGCCCATGGAGCATTCTGAGACAAATGGAGCATTCGCTACTTTTCACTTTCTGCTTCTTTACCACGCCCATCCGTGTGTTCAGCAGAATAACAACTGTTATCAATGACTTCAGTCATATTTCAGATTGATTTGATCCTTATGTTAGGGAGTGTCAAGTGTGTTTTCAATGGGGAGCCCTCAAACAGAAAGAGAGATGTTATCATCAGTGATTTGGTACATTGCCCCCACAAATGGAACTGACTAATTTTAGGCCGGCCGCTTAAAGCCAAGTGGGTGCCAAGGAGGAAAAGGCAATAGGGAGCTCTTTGAGCTACTGTGTGTTAGGACTTCTTAGTGTTTAAGGATCGTTTGAGTGGTGCGTCAATGAAATGTAACTATTTTGAAGGATAACTAACTCCATTGTAGCACCTTTTCCCCATAGCTTCAAAGAGCTTTCTGAGTGTTCCTTCACAAACAAACAAATCCTCTAGAGATTCAAAACAGGCTCACGGAAGGGTAGAGCCACTGAAGAGCATTGTGCAGAAGTATCGTTAAAAACACATCAATTCACAACTCCCCTCATCAGCAAATTCAAGCAAGTGTAAACAAGTTCATGAGAAATTTATCAGCTGAAGACAATAATATATGGGGGAGATAAAAGCAGTAATAGAGTTGGGGGAGGGCACTGAAAAATGGTTATATAGAAATGCATGCATTGAACAGAATTGCAGATGGCAAATATTTTACATAATTTATTCCAGGGTTCTTAATGTTTTAAAAAGGATGAACACCTTTGTTCTACCATGGTGGCTTTTTCGTTTGTTTGCTTGTTTGTTTCCTCCAAAAGCTGTGCTTTTACCAGATACTGACTACATCTGCTGCTTACATGTCCAGCCTGCAGTCCTGGGAATATGTAGGGTACTGCCAAGAATGAGGCAGAGAAACAATTCTACACAGCAATCTCCCTGTGTAAAAGATCTGAGTGGGCTTACAAGGGTTTAGGGATTCGGAAACTGAGGCAGGTTAAGTGTTAGTGTTGGGGAAGGTGGAACGGTGTGTGCATACAGTGAACAGCAACAGTGCCACCTGGTGTGATGGGCCAGGAGGGGGGCTGGGTCCCTCCTCCGCTGAGCTCAGAGAAGGCCCCTGGCCAACAAGGAGAAGGCAGAGGCTTCTAAAGCCTTAGGTGGGATGGGTTCCCTTTAAACCTGCAGGAGGTATTTCCTGCCTCACCATGAAAAGCTGATGGGTATGTGAGGGGCACTGAGCCCCTCATTATAGACTACGTGTTGTGGAAGGAAGGACCAACGTGCAGATTGCTCAGTTTTGTTTTCTGTAGTAATTTCAGTAGCTAAAGAAGTGATCTGGGGAGAGTGGGGGTGATGTGAATTGTTTCAATATAGGACCAGTAAAATTGCTGTCATCGTCTGATGTTGTTATGCAGCCTTCTTAAAAAATGGGTGATTAGATTTAGGCTCCCAAGCTGTGGTTAAGGGTTGCATAACACCAGGGAAAAAATGGTGATAATCTATCGTTTAAAGATTTAAACCCCCACTAAGGGAAAAAGTGGTTTTATCCTTGCAGATCAAGTAGGGCAGGGCTCCCGTTTGTCACTGATGCCAAGTTCTGGGCATAGGATGCTGCGCTGTTTTTCTGGTTATGAGTATACAACACACTGAACTAAAGCCTCAACATGCAGTTTCATTCCTGTATCAGGCATCTGTACGCTCTCTTATCTGGGGGAACTCAGTCAGTAAGTGCTATTGATTTATTCTGGTCGGGGGAGGAAGAAAGTCAGAGAAGGCAAACTTCTCTGCGAGAGGGAGCAAGAGAGGCAGCGGTTGGCACCGCAGCTGCAGGTGTGAAGGTCTGTGCAGTAGGTGGGCTCTAGCTGTGCAATAGCTGGGCTCTGCTCTGTCTCTAGAAGATACCTGCAGGCACACAGGCTGTTGCATTTGATAGCTTGCCCTTCTGAAGTGTAAAATGTTTTCTTTTCCGGAGTTAAAAACCACCACATTTCCCAGACTAGGAAGATAGTATTTAATTGCAAAAGAGAGCATTTAGGGAAGATATTTGTTTTACTTCGGGTCCTGTAGTAAACACCTCTGTAAAAGAAGGTTTCATTTACAGAGTAGTTATTTATTTCTTTTTTAAGCACGGAGTAAAGCAGTGTATGTTAGGTGCAGTCTTAGGCAAGACAAACTGGTTTGGAAATACTTGTGGCTTTGCAGAAAGGAATCTTTAAATGAACTGCAAATGATAACTGGTTTAGGAAGTGTATTTGTTGTTAAAAGCAATTCTCAGGGTTTTCTAGAGGAGGGACAGGTTTAGAAAATGCTAAGCGTGTTTTCATGCCATAGCAAACAAAACAAGAAAAAATATGTGCCATGCATATTTCCACCATACATGCATCATATAGGTGGGAACAATAACTGAAAATAATCTTTCATGGAAAACACTCTCAAGATGTAAATATGTGAATATGAGGAGTCCCATTCTCTCACATCACGTACAGACTGACTTTTAGGAAGATAGAACTTTTTTTGCAGTTGCCACCTGATGAAATTGTTGCTGAACTGCTGTTGATCATGGCTTAAATTCCAACAAAATTAAAACCAACACTGAGATCCCACTGAGTGTGGGGTCCCAACACTGAAGATGCAGAGCACAGCTGGGCAGGGCTCTCAATAGCAGAGCGCAGCCACTTGGGCGTGGGAATTGCTTCCTTTCAGCCTGTAGAACCGAGAGCAGTAAAACGTAATGATTGCAGTTTAAAGTAAAAATTAACTATTTCAGTTGTTGCGTTTGTCACAAACAC